AAACTCATATGTGTATTGTGACGGGATGGCAGGGAGGCGGACCCAAGTGCAAAGATGAAAAACTGTGAGAAAGGGTGTTAAGTAAGTTTGTTGAGATAACGGAATGTGAATTGGATGATGGTGCAGGTTGGGATTGAGTTGACCCATAGCCAGGTCCGTGGAGTTACCGCCGCGCCACTGGGAAGCACAGGCGACAATGGGTAAAACACCTCAAGGAACGGGAAATCAAAAAGGCAGGAAAAACGGCAACAAATAAAGGAAACGCTGAAAGCAGATCAAACAAAGGCTGAACTAGAAACGTGAAATAAAAGATAATGAGAAAACAAAAGACTCTTCCACTGTAATTATGAAGGGAAGGCCGACCTTGTTTTCTTACTCTCTTTTGTTTCTTCCAGTCCTCTTTTCTTTTCTTTTTGTTTAAATACCCACCTGAGCTGCATACCATACCGGTCACCCCTCTACAGAGGTGTGACAAAGGGCTGCTGTTTGCCACAGTCTTAAGTAGAGGCGTCCACAGGTGTGTCAGGTTGGGCCTAATCAGCCCGAGGGCTTTGGGAATTGGAGTTCCCTGAAGTTATAGCACTTTGCCACCGTCGCCCTCTGCTGGCGGCCTGTGGCGCAGGCTGGACCCTGACATGTATACCAAGCTCAAGTCTGCTTCTTATTTGCCAGCATCTTATTTGAGCTTTCCGTTCCACCTTAAATGGTGCTGCAGTTACGCAGGTGCCTTAAACGTAGAGCGAATTTTAGAAAGATGTCAAATACGAAGCCAGCATCACCTTTTCTCAATAAATGCATCCTTAATCCACAAATACCTCCAACTTCTGCTTAGAAATGTTTACTGAGCAGCTAACGAGCAGCATAGCAGAGCTATAATCAGCCATTGGAGCTGCTGAACTCTTCTCACTGGCAAACCACACACTTCTGTACTTCACCTACTACACTACTCAGTGCACCTCTAATGAGATATGTGCTATTTTCACACACTACTTAGTGTGGTAGTATGTGGTGTGGCACATGAAATAACGCAGCAGGAAATCTCAGCTTCTTAGACCTCAGCTTTCATTTGTTCTCAGCATCAAATCAAATAAAATCAAGACGACACACTCAAATATATCAGTTAATATGCTTTAAAAATTTAATTTAAAGAAGTAATCCAAAAAAAACAAATGTGTTTAACTGCCTTTGCTGAATCGGTTATGGCTGTATCTCATTACAAACAGCTACAGCACTGCTGAATGAACTTGAAGATGCCGACAAAAATGGTGGCTGCAAGACTGGGACGTCATTGGTATACTATCAATAGACAACAGTAGTCGTGCGTCATTCTGTAGTCATCGTCATGCCCATATTAGGAACTCCGGGTCTAAACTCCATTTCTCTATGGCCAGAATGAACAGGGTTTTCGAAAAATCGCCTCTATCGCCCCCTGTGTTAAATAAAAATGCTCAGAACTATTGAAAGAACTTCAGTGAGTGAGTTATTTCTGTCTAAGAGCTTAAATGTTAGCGTACAGCTTATTGTTGCTATATGTCTGTCCGTCTGCCCTGCGATGGACTGGTGACCTGTCCAGGGTGTTTCCTGCCTTCCGCCCAATGACAGCTGGGGATAGGCTCCAGCTACCCCCCGCGACCCAGAAGGATAAGCGGTTTAGATGATGTGTGTGTGTGTGTTATTCACTTCATTATTAATATCATCATTTTTTCTTATCAAAATTATTCTGTTTTTTTAAAACTGAGAAGTAACACATTTTTAAAAATAATCACAGGTCCACAATCAAGCCTAAGCCATTAAACTTTATTCACTTTATTTATTACTTTAATTCTATGTGGTTGCAATTGAGTCTCTCTATCCCAGCTGTCATTGGGCGGAAGGCAGGATACACCCTGGACAGGTCGTCAGTCCATCGCAGGTCAGACAGGCAGACATACATAGTCACTCACACCTAGGGGCAATTTAGCACGTCCAATCAGTCTGACTGCATGTTTTGGACTGTGGGAGGAAACTGGAGTACCCGGAGGGAACCCACGCAGACACGGGGTCGACCGACTGGGAATCGAACCCAGGCCATTCTTGCTGTGAGGCTACAGCGCTACCCAATGCGCCACCCTGGGTGCATGTATGTCACTCTCAGGTATGCCCACACAAAGCTGCACATACATTGTCAAAAAATCTCCTTCATTACACTGTAAAAACTCATTTGGAATCTTAAACTAAAAAAGTAAGTAAACTGACTGCCGTAAAATTTTACTGTACTTCAAGTAATGAGTGAACAGAATGAAAAGCACATTGTCCTGTTGACTTACTTATTACATCTTCAGTGAACTTGAAGTTAAATTTTTCCCCTTTCTGCTTAATATAAAACTTCAGACCTTTGTCATATTTTTCATTTCATAATGCGCCTAATGTTTTCAATGGTGACAGGTCTGGACTGCAGGCCAGTTTAGCACCCAGACTGTTTTATGACGGAGCCATGCTAGAATAAGCATTTTATTGTAGCAAGACAGTGTCCAATTTTGATTCATTGGATCACAGGACACTTTTCCACTTTGCCTCAGTCCATCTTAAATGAGTTTGGACCCAGAGAAGGCGGCAGCGTTTCTGGATCCTGTTTATGTATGGTTTGCTATTTTATGTTGAGAAGTATTGTTCTTGCATTGTTGCACTGTTTTATCATGCAGTCTTTCACAGAGTGTTGAACCCCTCCCCATCTTCACTTCAGAAACACTCAGCCTCTCTGGGATGCCCTTTTTGTACCCAATCATGTTACTGACCTGTTACCAATTAATTGAATTAAATATATGGTTTAAATAATTTGCACATCACTACATTCTGTTTTCATTTACATGTTGCATAGCATCCCAACTTTTTTAGAAATGGGGTTGTAAAACACCTTTGCTTCTGTACTCCTAAACACTGTACACCTGTAAACATGTGCACATGTAGGCTTGCAAACCTGTACACCCAGAAATATGTACAGCTTTAAGGCTATACACCTATGAAACAATACAACTGTAAAACCGAACACCTGTTAACCCCTTAAATGCCAATATTTTGTTACACATTTCTATAATGTAAGAATAGCTCAGCCACTTTGCACTGAAGTCCCTGTTACTGAATAATAAGGCTTATTATGTAATAAACCTGAGATTTTAAGGGCTTAAACTGTACACCTGCAAACCTGGAGAACCTTAAATGTGTGCACTTGTAAACCTACACAACTCGTATAAAGGTGAATCTGTAAACGAATGTCCTAACTGCAGTATGCACTACTTTTGAAGCAACATCTGCCTTAGAAAGCTCAATTTAAACAGAACTTATCTAAATATAAACTATCCTTTAGTTTTTTTGCAACATGAAGAATATAGTATTACATGGGGAACGTGTGTTAGACATAAAAGTCTGACATGTAATTCATGAATTGTATCGTTATGAGCACCATCTCCTGAATAAAGAAGTCAAATGAGGCGGATTCCTCCAGAAATTGGAGTCAAATTTTCATTTTATTGCAATCATTTTTTCTTATAAAAAGTTTAATGACATTGACCAGAATTAACTACAAATACAAATAATATGATGGCATGTTTGGACATTTTTTTTATTATGCAATGATTATACGCATCTAAATTTGTTACAGTACGTATTTTTATAATCCTGAGGGTATTTCTAATATACTAGAAATAATAATAATAATAGTAATAATAATAATAGCACCATGGTGAACAGTACTAGCAGACGGATAAAACTCCTAGATTTACAATAAAAATACATCCGTCTACAATTTTACATTTTAAAAACAACCGTCCCTCTTGAAATGATGATGGCTAACATGAGGCCTGTATCAAGGCGTACTGTATATTAATGTGCTTTATAAATTAATGCTTAACCCTTAGAAGTCACAGTTATCACTGAGAAAAAAAACATGTGATTTTACATTTTTATTTATACAACAGTTAGTTCCGGCCACGCAAGCTGATTGGTTGAGAGGCGTTCTAACTGTGCTGTCATTTCACAAACACTGTATCACTCCGCTGAGACGCCGTTGCTAGGCAACGACTTTGACAGCTGTAGGAGACTCTCAAGCCATTTAAACGTTTTTACTTCTTACTTTGCCACAAACAGAAAATGGACACTTTTAAGATCACATTTGACCGACAGCCGATTTGGTCAGACTCTGAAGATGAGACGACACTAAATTCCCAAACTGTCAGTCGGTCTGTGTGGAGCTGGAGAACGAACTGCCGGCTGTGCAGCGAGTGGGCGGAGCTCGTTACTCTGACGTAGCAACAAGCTGCTCGTTAAGGAACTATAATTTGGTGAAGGAACTGCGAACATTAAAACATATTAAACGCCGCGTTCACGGCCCAGTTTATTAATTTATTACTTTATTTATTTAACTCTTGTATTAAAGCAATAGAAACACTCGAGGAGTGTGTTATCGCCAATAACATCACGGCTGTGATGATCTACGGCGACCAAATCACAGCCGTGATGTTATTTCGCGATAACACTCTCCATCTTGGGTTCTATTGCTTAAATAATTTTTGTTATTATGAAAGACAAACTGTGTGGAAAGTACAGATTCTACATTTTCAGTCCATACCACAGGTGTGTTTGTGCGTAGAAGAACAGATATTTTATTATGATTTGAATCTGCTGAAATATTACTCTTGCTTTACAGGCTCGTTTGCTTAAAAAAAAACACACTTCACATTTTTGCCATGTTTTTGTCATTTTTTTCACATCGAAACCAACAGAAAAAAGTCAGAAGTGCAGACTCATAGCTGTCCATACACAATATAAATCAAATGTAAATGTAATTTATTATGTAACTACCTGTGAAATGACTACAGCAAAACAACAGTAATATCTCCAGACTTCTAAGGGGTTAAACGACTCTTATTCTGCACAGTGTGTGCAGCACTCGCTGGACACTGAACAGGAAATAAACGGTCAGGAATGAACAGCGTGCCTCACTTTTCTTCCTGCAGGGCCTTGAGCTACAGTGAAGTGGACAGCAGCGGGTCCGAGCCTTTAGTTGCAGTCAGCTTAGTCCTCTTTCTGCTGAGGAACTCATTCTGGATCTCCAGAAACGTCTTATTTTTGGTTTCTGGGACAACAAAGAAGATGAACGTGGCCACAAGGCAGCAAACAACGAGGAAGACGAGGAAACAGTACTGCTGCAGACCATTCTGGGAAAAAGAGAGAGAAGTTAATTTGTGAGATCACAGCCAACATTTCCAGTGAAAGCAAGCAATTAGCTGACGAACACACAAAGAAAAGAGTAACACAGTAAGACATTAATATGGAAACAGACTGTTATGTTGTAACAGTGTTGCACTGTAACACAGTAATGCTGTTACACCGTAACACAGATGCCCTATGATGGACACAGTATTACTGTAACATTGCTGCACAGTAACACAGCAATACAAAGTTTTTACATTGAAACGGTGTTACATGCCAGTATCCTGTTACACTGTATCACATTACCACAGTAATGCAGGCAGTTACCCTGTCACACTGTAACGTACTAATACGGTAACACTGTTGTGCAGGAACAGTATGCACAGTGTCACTGCTACACTGTAACACACTATTGCTGTAATGGCATAATACATTAATACCACTGCAGTGTAACACAGTAACACCATTACACAGTAACACTGTTACACAGTAACACAGTAACTTTGTAACACCATTACATTGTAACACACTCATGCTGTAACACTGTAACACAGTAACACCACTAGATTGTAACACACTCATACTGTAACACTGTAACACAGTAACAACATCACATTGTAACACACTGATTCTGTAAGACTGTGTAATTAACTGTAACAATGTAGCACAAATAACACTATAACAGTGTGACTGTTACACTGTAAGACTTGTTTCGACCCTATGGGTCTTAATGTGTAATTTTTGTGTAGTGTGTTTTCTCCCTTATCGAACTGTCAGAGGGGAGATGCACTAGGCCACCACCAGGGGGAGCAGTCTTTAAAAAGGACGCATACAGGAGGAAGAGGCAATGCCTTACTGTTGCGTTCCTGGTTCCCCGACCAGCTATTGAAAGAACTTCAGTGAGCGAGTTTTTTCTGTCTAAGAGCTTAAATGTTAGCGTACAGCTTATTGTTGCTTTGTTGCCTGTGTTACGACCCCCAGTTGTCATAGCCCTTCTTTGTATCTGTTTGGGGCCATTTTGTGTGTTTCTCCATTGTTGTATTATGTGCAGGTACGTGATTGGCCACTCGGGGGCGCCTGGCAATATAAGAGGACCCTGAGCCACCGTCTTGGGAGACGTTCAGGGCTCTTGCCCTTTTGACACGACCTGGAAGAACGCCTGTTCAGACCAACCCGGCACGCTTCACTCCACTCTTCTTTGAAAGGTTTGAAAGCTTTGTTAGACTTTGTGAACATTGGGGAAAGTAGGGGACGGGTGCCATTGTGTTTTGGGTACCCTCTTCTCCTGTTTAAGGTAGGGGGTTAGGGTAGCTATATGTTTTCTTGTTTCTTTTGTTTTTAGGTTTCGTTAGTTTTTCACCATTTGTTGTTTTATTTGTTATTTTGGCGAGTGCTCGTCCCTGAAGCCATCACCTCAACTTGTCTGAGCTTTTGAAGAAAATAAACCTGTCATTCTCTGGTTTAAACGGTGTCCGGTGTCTGGTCTGGCAGCAGGTCTGGGGAGAGAGCCCACTCTCATTCTCTGTTACGGCCTGACCCCAGACCGGGTCGTAACACCTGTTTGTTGAGATTTCCATAAAGACAGTTTACAGTGTATACATACAGCATTTTCATTGAAGTAGCTAATGTGGCTGCTCAGAGATAAAACTGTTGTATGTACTCTCCATGACCCGGGGGAGAGGGTTATTTCTCCTGGTTTTTCTTTTGTTTGTTAGGTAAGTTAGTTTCCCTTAGATCTAAGTTTAGTTTTGTTCTATTCGTTATTTTCCCCTTTCCTCCCCTGCTGTACCATTTATTCCACTTTTCTAGAGACTTTAACCTCCTAGAGACGAAAATAAAACAAAATCTGTAATTATTGCAACACATTGTGTAATTTGGAGAACCGGGAAGGCACCGATTTCTCTTTTATTTATGTTGCGGTCCGAGCTAACACACTGTAATATTCAAACATTATGTCTGATCAATCAACGACTGCTGATGATCACAGTGTGTGTGTGTGTGTGTGTATTTACCACTATGAAGGGGAACACCATGCCAATGAAGAAGAAGCTGAGCCAGTTCACTGATCCACCGATCATATACGCTGCTGGCCGTGCGGTCTGAGTGAACAGCTCTGTGATCAGGATATTAGTTACACCCCCTACAGGCAGCAACACAAATTACACAGAAGCATTTTATTAGTATATGTTTCATGTTCATACCAAATAAATTACAAAAAAAAAACAATAAAGGAAACAAAGGGTTTTTTTCATACTTTAGTATTAAAAAATAGAAGTGTAATAATAACTGTCGACAGACTGTGTGTTCATTTATTGATTTGTTCATTGGGTCACCTGGTCCAAGGCCAAAGCTGAGGATGAAGGCGAAAACACAAGCCATGCTGAGATACGGCATCCAGGAGCTGTACGTCTGCAGGACAGAAATAGCATACAGAGACAACATGAATATATATAGATGTTTCAGTTTAACATGTGCTGTTCCAGCTAAACACACAGTACAAGAAATGACTGAATATTGATTTCTAGAGGTTAATTACTCGCTAGTCAACATCTGTAAGCACATTTAATATTCTTTATCAAAAATGCTGCAAAAAGGTTTTTTGTAATACACTAAATCTGTACTGCCGTTACATCATTAATACAGAAAAAAAGTGGAAAACTAGATCAATCTTAAGCTCAGGCATGACTACAGAACCCAGTACAACTCAGAATTCAGTCAGAACCCAACAGAACCCAAGCAGTATCCACTTAGAACTTAGAAGCCAAGCAGTATTCAAACAGAACCAGAGCAAAACTTAAAAAGTACTCAAACGCAGCCCAACTGTAACCTGAACAGTGCCCTAACAGAACCCAGTCAGAACTAAAAAAGAACCCAAAAAGAATCCAAATAGAACCCAAACAAAACTCAGTTTGGTAGCTTGGCCAACATTCGGTTCAACTGATGTGTGTGTACACATATGTGTATACATTGTATGTGTGGTTATGATTTTATTTTAAACATGCTCTGTTTAAGTCTTTACCTGAAAGGTGAGAGTGATGGTGAAGCAAATGCACCACAGGGACATGAGCGAGTATCCTCCAATGATCAACACCCGCCGACCCAGAGAATCAATCAGCAAACCCTGCAAACACACACACACACCTCAGTCCAAGTGTGAAGTTCAAAGAACCTCAAAGAATACAGCTGTTCAAAGTTCTCCTTCAATCTGGAGAAGAATAAACAATATGCAGCATCTGAAGAAATATGTCCAGGTTTCGACAGAGGTACACTGTGGGAGATTTGTCTTGATTTTTATCTTAATTACAGCATAAATCTCTAATAGCTCAGATTTATGCAACAAAGACTGACACTACCAAGAGTAAGAGCCCTAAAGACTTTCACTACTAGGTGTAATAACTCTGGCACTACCATGAGTGAGAGGCATGAAGACTGGCACCACTGATAGTAAGAGCCATGAAGATTTGCAAAACCAGGAATAAGAGCCCTAAAGCCTGGCAATATCAAGAATGAGAGTCATGAAAAACTGGCACCATCAAAGGTAAGAAGCACAAAGATGAGCACTAGTAAGAGTAAGAGGCATAATGACTGACACTATAACGGTAAAAGTCCTACAGACTGCCACTACCAAGAGTAAGAGCCCTAAGGACTGCCACTACCAAGAGTAAAAGCCCTAAAGACAGCCACTACCTGGAGGAAGAATCCAAAAGACTGCCACTACCAAAAGTAAGAGCTCTAAATTCTGCCACTACCAAGTGTAAGAGCCCTAAGGACTACCACTACCAAAAATAAAAACCCTAAGGACTGCCACTACCAAGTGTAAGAGCCCTAAAGACAGCCACTACCAACAGTAAGAGCCCTAAAAACTGCCACTACCAAGAGTAAGAGCCCTAAGGACTGCCACTACCAAGTGTAAGAGCCCTAAAGATTGGCACTACCAGGAGTAAAAACCCTAAGGACTACCACTACCAAGAATAAAAACTCTAAGGACTGCCACTACCAAAAGTAAGAGCCCTAAAGACTGCCACTACCAAGAGTAAGAACCCTAAAGACAGCCACTACCAAGAGTAAGAACCCTAAAGACTGCCACTACTAAGAGTAAGAGCCCTAAAGACTGCCACTACCAAGAGTAAGAGCCCTAAAGACTGCCACTACCAAGAGTAAGAACCCTAAAGACTGCCACTACCAAGAGTAAAAGCCCTAAAGACTGCCACTACCAAGAGTAAGAACCCTGAAGACTGCCACTACCAAGAGTAAGAACCCTGAAGACTGCCACTACCAAGAGTAAAAGCCCTAAAGATTGGCACTACCAAGAGTAAGAACCCTGAAGACTGCCACTACCAAGAGTAAAAGCCCTAAAGATTGGCACTACTGAGAGTAAGAGCCCTAAAGACTGCCACTACCAAGAGTAAGAACCCTAAAGACAGCCACTACCAAGAGTAAAAGCCCTAAAGATTGGCACTACTGAGAGTAAGAGCCCTAAAGACTGCCACTACCAAGAGTAAGAACCCTAAAGACTGCCACTACCAAGAGTAAGAACCCTAAAGACTGCCACTACCAAGAGTAAAAGCCCTAAAGATTGGCACTACTGGGAGTAAGAGCCCTAAAGACTGCCACTACCAAGAGTAAGAACCCTAAAGACAGCCACTACCAAGAGTAAGAGCCCTAAAGGCTGCCACTACCAAGAGTAAGAGCCCTAAAGACTGCCACTACCAAGAGTAAGAGCCCTAAAGATTGGCACTACCAAGAGTAAGAACCCTAAAGACTGCCACTACTAAGAGTAAGAGCCCTAAAGACTGCCACTACTAAGAGTAAGAGCCCTAAAGACTGCCACTACCAAGAGTAAGAACCCTAAAGACAGCCACTACCAAGAGTAAGAACCCTAAAGACTGCCACTACTAAGAGTAAGAGCCCTGAAGACTGCCACTACCAAGAGTAGGAACCCTAAAGACAGCCACTACCAAGAGTAAGAACCCTAAAGATTGGCACTACTGAGAGTAAGAGCCCTAAAGACTGCCACTACCAAGAGTAAGAGCCCTAAAGACTGCCACTACCAAGAGTAAGAACCCTAAAGACAGCCACTACCAAGAGTAAGAACCCTAAAGACAGCCACTACCAAGAGTAAGAGCCCTAAAGATTGCCACTACCAAGAGTAAGAACCCTAAAGACAGCCACTACCAAGAGTAAGAACCCTAAAGACTGCCACTACCAAGAGTAAGAACCCTAAAGACTGCCACTACCAAGAGTAAGAACCCTAAAGACAGCCACTACCAAGAGTAAGAACCCTAAAGACTGCCACTACTAAGAGTAAGAACCCTAAAGACAGCCACTACCAAGAGTAAGAACCCTAAAGACAGCCACTACCAAGAGTAAGAGCCCTAAAGACTGACACTACCAAAAGTCAGAGGCATAAAGACTGGGACTACCAGCAGTGAAAGCCCTAAAGACTGAGACTACCAAGAGGAAGAGCTTTAGAGAGTGGAGGTTACTGTGGCTGTTAGGTTGTTACTGTTAAAGCCTAACCACTTTACAGTATAAGTACTGCTGTTTATCTGGTGTAGAGCATTGTTGTTGTGGGTCAGTGTGGGTGTTAGGGACTTACACAGGTCAGCGCTGTGATGCACTCACACGCTCCAGTCCCCACAGTAGCATATGGAATTTTTTCAAATGGAATTCCAGCTTCAGCAAATACATACTCTGCATAGAAATAAATCTGAAAAGAGGAAACATGTACCTCAGCTCAGCGTTAGCATTAGCACAAGACAACGAGACACTGAACTATGTAAACCGACTCATCTGACTCATGGTTTATATCAGTTTTGTGTTTAGTTCTGAGAGAGACTGAGAGAGACTGCATATGTAGCGTACAGCGTTAATGCCGTTTAGCTGCTGTGCAGTGCTGATGATGATGATGGCGAAGAGCGGCCAGCGCAGGTTTTTGTCAGCGAAGAGCTCCCACGGTTTCAGCGGTTTGACTCCCGTAGCGCTCGCTCGCTCTCGCTCCATGTCCTCTCTCTCTCCATGATAGTTTTCTCCACCGTGAAGCTGCTTCAGAGCTGAGGGCAAAAACACACACACACACACACACACACACACACACACACACACACACACACACGAGGCAAAGATCAGAACATTCCTCAGCTCACAAGATCATTTTTGTTCATTATGCTTCAGTGAATCTGCAGAATTCAGACAGATCACACCAGGCCTTCTGCTCAACCTCAAGCCGTTAAACAAAAATACAAGGCACTCCATCTAATCCCACACTGACCTTCACTGACCTTCACTGATCATTAGTCATGCATGTAATGTTGAGAGGATGCACATCAAACACGACTAACCAACATGGCCAGTGAGTATTGACCCTGGACGTTCACTACACTATCCAGTTCAGTTCAAGTGTAATATATGTTTAAATAAATATACGTTTAATAGTGTACATTCACTCCCTCATCCATTCATCCCCTACTCATCAATTCATCCTCCCACTTATCCATTCTGTCCCCATTCATCCCCCCAACTCACCCATTGATGCCCCACTCAGTCATTCATTCACTCAAACATTCATTCCTTTCATCCATTTGTGCAACAATCCACCCATTCATTCACCCATTCATCCATCTATTCATCCTATAATCCACCCACTCATCCACTCATTCCCCCACTCTTCCACTCATCTATCCATCCAGCCCCCCTTACCCCAAATGTTGTAGATCACTTAAGACATGTCTGGTATCTGAAGTTTTTTGAGTTTTAGCGCTGGAGCTCAAGGCTAATGTACTTAAGGAGGAATGGAAGATTTATCTGTATGACATTGTTATACATAACAGGGAATCCCAAACTATGCTGTACTGTATGTTAAACAGTGAGCTGTACTGTAAATTGTACTGTATGTTAAACATTGAGCTGTACTGTAAATTGTACTGTAAGATAAACAATGAGGTATACGGTAAACTGTAGTGTAAGATAAATGGTGAGCTGTACTGCAGTGAGATGTACTGTAAACTATACTGTGAGATAAAAAGCTAGCTATAGTGTAAACGGTTCTGTAAGATACACAGTGAGCTCATAATCAATAAACTGTATTGAGAGATGAACAGTGAGATAAACAATCAGCTGCACTGTAAACTGTTGTAAAATAAACAGTAAGCTTTGCTGTAAACAGTACTGTAAGATAAACAGTGAGATACAGTGAGCTGTACTCTTATCTTTAAATAAATAAGACAGCGAGCTGTACTGTAAAGTGTACTGTGAGATAAACAGTGAGCTATATTGTAAACTTTACTATAAAATAAACAGTGAGCTTTACTGTAAACTGCGTTGTAAGGCAAACAATGAGCTGTACTGTAAACTGTTCTGTAAGTTAAACAGTGAGCTCTGCTGTAAACTGCACTGTAAACTGTACTGCAATATAAACAGCAAGCTTTACTGTAAAATGTACTGTGAGTTAAACACTGAGCTCTACGGTAAACTGTACTGTAAACTACTATAAGATAAACAGCAAGCTTTACTGTAAACTGTACTGAAAACTGTACTGTAAGATAAACAGTGAGCTGTACTGTAAACTGTACTGTAAATTGTGCTGTAAGATAAACAGTGAGCCATACTATAAACTGTACTGTAAGATAAAAAGCAAGCTTTATTGTAAACCGTACTGTAAACTGTACTGTAAGATAAACAGTGAGCTGTACTGTAAACTGAACTGTAAATTGTGCTGTAAGATAAACAGTGAGCTGTACTATACACTGCACTGTAAAATGGTACTGTAAGATAAACAGTGAGCTGTACTGTAAACTGTACTGTAAACTGTACTGTAAGATAAACAGTGAGCTGTACTGTAAACTGTACTGTAAAATAAACAGTGAGCCATACCCAGGCTGCAGGCATGGTCATCACTGCGGTCAATCAGCAGGTAGCGTGGACTCTCGGGGAACCAGGGCAGGATCAGGAGCTGCAGCAGTGCTGGAATGCACGTGGTGGAGAGGAGGAGGGGCCAGTAGTCTCCCTTGCCCAACAGCTCACTGTCAATCAAACAGATTTTCTATGCATTTGTCCAAAGCCTTCAGTGCGTAAGATCTACAGCTACATTGAACAAAATCACATACAAGAACAGCAGCGATTCAGATTCAGAATCAAATTCAGATTCAGCCTCAGATTCAGAATCAGACTGAGATTCAGATTCAGAATTACATTAATCGCTGAGTACGTATATGAAATTTGACAGGAAAGAGACAAAATTAAATAAAAAAAAATTCCATTCACACTAAAGTGCTGAGACAATAGAAAAACAGTCATATGGAAAAGTGGCGCTCTGCACATTTTAATGCACAAGTACTGTTTTTTGCTGAATTAAACATTTTGGATAAAACAGAATTTGCAAAAACAGAAACTGTGCACTCAAATTGGCAGAAATGCCATCTTTATCTCATGAGGATGTGCTAACTTATTTGCATATATATATATATATATATATATATATATATATATATATATATATATAATTTCACCAGGGGTATTCAAACTCATATTCGTTGTATACTGAGCATGCACACACTACACCATGGGTGTCAAATTCAACCACATATTAAAAAATCTCAACAAAGCCATGGGCCAGAGAAAAAAATGTTTTTAATTAATGCTGTGCTAAGACCCAAACTGGCCACTGTTTATTCAAAATACGCAAAAACCTCAGCAGTAAAGTAGAGGCACTTGTAGTAGACCTTAAATAATACATGAGTACTTGAAATATTCAATATTTGAATGTCCCCAGGAGCTCAGTCTTTTACACCTAACTCTCTGCTTGATCTAGACACCTGACATCCTTTCTTTACTGTAAGTCCATTAAGACTTGGGCTCAGTTTCTGAGCTGCTGAGCTGGCATTAAGTGTTGGTTGAACTGCAGCTGAAATGAAGCTAGTGTGTTTGGTGATATCACTGGTGTAGAACTGTGTAGAATTGAGGTGTAACTGCTGTCCCATAGATTGTTGTTGGGGTAGGAGAGTCAGAGAGCACATTGTGTTGCAGTGCATGCTGGGAACTGTAGTTTAGAGCATTGTAAAACAGGCTACTACTAATATAAAAACAGGCTAATACTAATATAAAGAGCGTTCTGAAGAGCAGTGCAGTTTGAGTGGTTTAAAATATGATTTTAGTGTGGATGAAAATCCAGAACAGAGGAAAAATACACAACTACATGAGATACATCATTCGTAGTACTTAATAATTCATAATAGTTATTGATTCATTCATAGTAGATACTGAATAATTCACAGTAGGCTAATTACTGCAAAATTCATAATAAGTCTGCAATTTAAGGCATAATATCTGCTTATAAAGGTTTATAATAATTTTAGGAACTTTACTGACGTGAGTCCCATCACCTGTCCCGTTAGAATTCCCCCTGTGATGAAAATGGACGTGCCCATTGCCATGGCGCCCCGCAGAGCCCGGGGGGCGATCTCACCCAGATAGAGGGGCTGCACACAGATTGCTACACCTGCCAATCAATCACAGTAAACCCATCAGAAAACTCTTGAATGTATGATTTTACACGGTTCACGCAGGTGTAAAAGTGCAGCTGCAGAACAAATAACACAGAAAAAACAGAACGCAGAGAGAGAAAGAGGTTTTAGGTGTGTGTTCGGCGTTTGATGATATGACCACACATGCAGTATTAGTGTCGTAGGAATAAATAACTGAATGAAGGAATAAATGAATGAATGAACACTAACAAACAGGAATGGTAATAGAGCAATAGATAATAACACAGTCAAGCCCACAGTGAAGGTTCTAGGTTCTTTTTTTACCCTTAAAGAGTTAAAAAGTTTCTTCAGGCCTCCTAGCGCCCTGGAAATTGGGTATTTTTATCAATAACCAAATAAAAAAGTTAAATTCCAAATATGATTAAGATTTAATTGGAATATTTTTAACTTTTTTGTCACTGTGCAGAGTGTAGCTACAAAGCCAATGCAGTACTGTTTACAGATAAGTGCAAGAAAAGTAGTACCTTAGCAAGCAATGCTATATCTTACAATATGTACAGTTAGGAACAGTGGAAAGTTACAATATACAAATATTACATGTGGAAATATTTGAATGCATATATACAGAGGGGAAGTGGACAGAGTTAGGAATAGAGAGTGCAAATGTATGACTGTATATACAGTACAAACAGCATATGTAAATTTGATTATGTATGCAGAGTATGAAGAACATGTACAGTAGGTTAGATTTAAAGTAACAGATTGTGCAAACTGCATGGTCCTTAAAGTATTGTACACAGTAATTATGCAGTGATGCTATACAGTGGCAGTGTGGAGTTTGGCAGAGTCACAGCTTCAGGGAAGCTCTTCCTGAGCAACATCCTGGATGATGTTTCTCGCCCTTGTGTGGTGTTCAGGTCTGTGGGACCCATTTTCAATGTTTACCAAAATAGAAAATGATGTGATTTATTATTATTTCAACCTCAGATTCTTGTTCTTTGCTCATTTTCTGTGAAGAACATATAAAATAACCCATTTTCAGTGTCTTCACTCTGTTCACCCCCCACACATTTATATTACACATGTGGTGTTGGGTGAACCTGTGGGGAGTAAAAGTGTGGAGGTGCTGTGTCCTTCACTCTGTTCTCCTCCTACATGGCCTGCTGTTAGTGTGTGTGTGTGTTTGTGTGTGTATGTGTTTGTATATGTGTGTGTGAGGGTGGACAACATGGACAGGCTGCTGACTGGCTACAGCTGCTAAAGGAGAACCCCTATTTTAAACATTTGGTATTTTTACATAAATTGTTATGGCTGTATTGATTAAAAAAAAAACAATAATGCGGTGATTCGACCAGACCACTGAGTAACAAACACATCAACACCACATAGGGGTTAAAATAAAAGGCAGAATTGATGGACCTCCAAAACAGGATGGAATCACATTTTATGGTTACCGTGAGACTGGTTGATATGAAGGGTTTAAAGTGATGTATAATATTGCTTTTGTTCATGTAAACTAAATTTTAACTTTGCATTGTTTCATTCAAAGTATATATTTGAGTTGAATTAAACCAGATTGTTACCACATGAAGTGCTCAACTATCTAACAGGCTAAATGGACCCTCAGAGCTACAGCAGTGGGCCTTAAGGTCTAACTTTGTACTTTAAAATGATTTGTAAAGGCACATTATTCAGTTTTTACTATGAGAAAGGTGCACACTTGTACTGTTTTAGCTTTTTAAAAAGGAAAATAAATGAAAAGCCTGGTATGAGGACAGCCTATATGGAGTCAATGCAGCGTAAAAATACAACTTTAACAGAATGTAGTTGTATAATAATGGTATTATGTTCCTTAAGTAAAGGTACTGAAGATGTAAACTTGAGGGAACCACCCCAGTGTTTGCACCTTGTAAAGTAAAATTTCTCCTTATTCTCTCTGACAGCTTTATTTTAAGATAGCAATTGTTAAAAGGCTAGAGTCGAGATACTGGATGGTTAGTTACCATTAGACAAACATTATCCTTATTTAATCCATCATATCAAGACATTATTAGAAACATTATGTATTGGCTGCTTAGGAAAAGACAAGTTGACCAAAGAACTACAGGTAATGCACATCACACACTGCTAACATAATATAAAATATTGTAGAAACTGTAGTTAATTTTTAATATGCTTGAATTTACCTGCATTTACTCCGGACAGAAAGCGTCCGAGAATGAGCAGCTCAAACGCGCTGGCATAATAACTCATCCCCATCAGCAGAGCAGCCAGCAGTGCAAAACTGTTATTAAATAATAAAGTCCCTTTCCTGGAATAAAAAAGAGAGAGAAAGACAAAGAAAAAAAACAAAATTTGAACAAGACAACTTCATGGCAAAAAGAAAAGGCGAAACAAAATTATATATATTTGACATGTAATTGCGCTTTATGTGTGTTATGTGTTAGTCCATTTGAAAATATCATTAGATATTTTGGTAGAGCAATCGGGATATTAAAAAAAGGCATTTGTACTTTGGGATCATGTAGAATAAATATGAAATCAAACCATGCGTGTGATGTTGAACCACAGGGAAGTTTGGGACATAAGCAACTGATATTGTGCCTCTGCCATTTATCTCATGCTTAGAGAATTGGCAGACCTAAATAGCGCAATATATGAAAAACATTAACATGACAAATCTGCACAGTGTAATTTGTGTGAGTTCTGAAGGTCAGATAGTAGTACTGTTAAATTACATCAGCTTAAAATGGCTATAACTAATGCTCTCCGCAAGGGGAAGCTTGCACTTAACTAGGTTTATGTGCATTACTGAAAGAGAGGAAACCGGCTCCTTCGCTAAATGCAGGCTTTAAGCTGCAGTGTTTACTGAAAGACTCACTGTAAAGCCATAGCGGCTGTAAATGGTATTAAAAACATTTGCAAAATCCCTAGAGCTTTTATTATATAGAATTATATAACGTTATAGAACACCATTACATGCATTCTGTAACTGTCCATGTCTGTCTATGCATTAGAATTAAAGAAATAGACTGATGACTGATTTCCACATTTACCCCCCCTTCTCCAAAAAGCAGCTGATCAGCCAATGACACTGTATGAAATGCTGTTATCTATCCAAATGGAAAAAGGTCAAATCATGTAGCTAATAATCACAAAATAATATTGATAATGATAGTAATAATAATAAAAAATAATGTGCTTTATTTGTATAGCACTTTGCTTCACAGACACAGGCAGACAATACAATTGTATAAAAAATAAAATCAGACAAAAACATTAGATCAGTTTATAAAAAATAAGAAAAAATAAAATAATAAAACAATTAAAAGTGAAAATGACATAACAGATAGAAATAATAGTGATAAAAGGTAATTAGCAACAGTAAGAGAATTAAAATAGTAGCAATAATAATAATAATAATAATAATAATAATAATAAAGGAACCACATAATCAAGCCTATTAGAGATACTGAACAAATTACTGAACACACGGTTTGAGGTGAATGTATTGATGATTTAGGTTTGCAGTTAGCACCATGCTAATTGGTGGGCTACAAGATCCAATCCCTGTTTGCTACATTAGCCTCGTAGCTCCAGTGTTAAAACACCAAACATGCCCTGGCTGATCAACTACATTTGGGGTGAGAGAGGGAACTGTTCTGTTTTACTGATAAGCAGTTCAATAATAGAAACATGTCCTCACCTCCCAAACCTGATGGCGAGCGTTCCTCCCACAGACGCCCCGATGAGTCCACCGATAGTGAAGATGGAGACGATGGAAGACCAGAGGAACGTGAGGAGCTGTTCTGGGATTTCATCACCGTAACGCTCCAACCACGTCTCATTAATGAACTCCTGCACCGCCTGATAACCCAAACAAGGAGCACAATGATGCTTTTCATTTTTGTCCCCTTTGCTTTATAGCTCACTTATGTCTATTGCCTAATTATAATATTAGTAATATCTAATAATAATGAACATTATTTACAGAGCACCATTCATTCAGGTAGCAGTTCAAAGAGCTTTATAACCAACTGATTCAAATTCAATAACAGTATTAAAATTACATAGTTAAAATTAAAAGATAAATACAAAAACAAGGTGAAACTTTAATTAAAAGCTAAATTAAACATGTGTTTTAAATTCTTTCCTAAAAGTTTGTTCTAACACTGTGAAAAATTATATCTTCAATGTAATTCGCAAAAGTTATGTGGTAACAAGCAACTGAAGTAGTTTCATTTAACTCAAATACATACTTTGAATGAATGTACAGTGAAGCTTGGTGGCCTAATAGAAGATAATTATTTATGCAGTGCTGCACAAAAGTCTTATGATAAAAAATAATATGTGGCATAATTTTTAAAATGTTCATTTTAAAAGTACATTTGAGAAAAGTCCATTATAATACTTCTAAAAAGTGTTCATCCCAGTAAGTGAAACAGTTTGTCATTTTGTCTTCTGTGTGACTTCACTGTGAAATTTAACTGTGTAAAACAGAAGCCGTAGGTAAAGGGTTTGAACATTAATGTTGGTCCTGTGAAATGTGAAATTTAATTTTCTCTACAATAATTCTGGTTTTCCACAAGGGAGCACTATTAGCATTTATGTAGTTTTTGTGTATCGTTGAGAGGGAGGAAACCCACACCAGCAGGAGCTCACAAATATGTGTATGGTGGCACACATTTCAAAACAGAAAGTAAAAATTATTTATTACCTAAAAGTATGACTCAGTGTCATTTAATGTGCTTTTTTAATTTAAGCAGTTAATTAACTGACACGCTAGTAGCAAACTAACTAGATAACTAATAGACTGCCTAACTATCTACTGCTAGTTAATTATCTCCTTAAAATCCCAGGCTTATTACATACTAAGGCCTGCTATTTAGTAACTACAAGGACTTCAATGCAAACTGGCTGAGCTATTCTTAGGTTATAGAAGTGTGTATTAAAACTTTGGGCCTGTTGGGGGGACCCTGGCCATTTAGGGGGTTAATTGACTACTAATGCTTCACTAGCTAACAAATCAACTAACTAAGTGAACGGCTAACTAACCTACTAACTAACAAATTAACTAACTAGCTACCTACAGAACTAGCCTACTAAATAATAAATAAACTGACTGACTGGATTTAAAATCATAAAAAATGTTGCTGGCTTTATACATAGCATTTCAGTCAATCTGAATTAGTTCTTTTGTGTTCATTACCTGATGGACTACAACTGCCATAAACACTAGAACACTAGAGTTGCAGTTTGCTTGACTATGTTGAGGAGATGGAGATGTTTGATACTGTTCACTACGCAGACCTGATTTATGTATGTTTTTTGTACACTCGTTTATTTCTAATAAGTTTAGGTCTTTAAAATGAGCTGTATAAATAATGTCATGCTCTATTGACCTGATTGAAGGTGCTACTCTACCCAAGTCATACGTTTATCCTCTTACACAAGAGGAGGAGAGAGCAATGGAGGAATACATTCAAAAAGAATTAGCCCAGGGTTTCATTTGCCCTTCAACTTCACCGGTAGCCTCTATTTTTTTCTCTGTTAAGAAGAAAGATGGAGGTTTTTGCACTTGCATTGATTAGCGACCTCTGAACAAACAAAGAAATACCATTACCATCTGCCGCTTATTCCATTTGCCCTAGAACAGTTAAGTGGAGCCAAGGCTTTCACCAGGCTAGATCTCAGGAGTGCCTATAACTTGCGAGAGGGAAATAAATGGAAAACCACTTTTATCACCGCTAGGGGGCACTACGAATACATGGTCATGCCATTCGGGCTCTCTAACGCCCCCTCCGTCTTTCAAGCATACATTAATGACATTCTGAGAGATATGATAGGCCAGTTTGTGATAGCCAATATAGATGATATCCTAATCTACTCCCTGTAGATTAGGATATCATGTAGGTAAACATCAGAAACTTCATTCAGTAGCATTCTGTTCTCATAAACTCCTGCCGGCTGAGAGGAACTATGGCACAGGTGATCATGAACCTTTGGCGTTGAAACTAGAACTGGAGGAGTGGAGGCACTGGCTAGGGGGAGCGAATCATCTGATCTTGGTTTGAACCAATCACAAGAAACTAGAATACTTATGTAACGCAGAGCATCTAAACCCCCGCCAGGGCTGTTGATCCCTATTCTTTTCCAGATTTCATTTTAATATCTTTTATCACCCTGATTCTAGGAATACCAAAGCTGATGTCCTATCTTGGGTTTCTCAGCAAGATGAGGGAGAGGATAGAGACATAGAACCTGAAAACATTCTTCCCCCAAATGTTCAGATTGCTTCGATTCGCTGGGAGATTGATGAGGAAATTGAGAAAGCCCTAACAAACCAAACAATACATAGTCATTGCCCTCCTGATAAAACCTATGTCCCTGAAACATCCCATGATCGACTCAAACATGGGCCCATTCCTCACTCACTACTGGTAACCTGGGGGTGACATGTACATTCCAATTACTTTCTATCAATTACTGGTGGGAATCCGTGAGCCAGGACATACACAAATTAGTTTCTTCTTGTACTGTCTGCTCCCAGTGTAAGACCCCTAAAACTCTGCCCACTATTAAACTTATGCCCTTGCCTATATCTGCTTGCCCCTGGTCTCATATAGCTGTAGACTTTGTAACACAGTCCTCACTATAGTGGACAGGTTTTCTAGAATTGTTTGATTTATTTCTTTTCCTTCTATCCCTACAGCTTTTCAAACTGCAGAAACAATTTATAATTAGGTGTACAGAAATTTCGGCATTCCTGAGGACACACTGTCTGATCGAGGTCCACAATTTACTTCTTGTGTGTGGTCAGCTTTTTTTGAGCATATTGGAGTGACTGTAAGCCTCACCTCTGGCTATCATCCACAATCAAATGGACAGTGTGAAAGAGCTAATCAGGAACTTGGAAAGTTTCTCAGACTATTCTGCCCATAACAACACTTCTGAACTGGACTTGTTTTTCTGGTACGGGCAGAAATTGCACAAAACTCTTCTGCGAGCTCCGCTACTGGTATAAAACCATTCCAGTGTGTTTTAGGTTTTCAACCTCCTGTGGCTCCATGGACAGCTGTGGTGTCTGATGTTCCAGCAGTGGACGAGTGGATGCAATGCATTGAGGAGGTCTGGGAGGAGACACATCAGCACATCCAGACAGCACTCCAGAGGGAACAAGGAGTTTGCTCACCGTCGCCAAGGAGAGACCCACTCTTACCAGCCTGGACATCAAGTCTGGCTTTCAACCCTCAAGTACTTTGGTCCATTTTAAGTTTCTTATAAAGATAAGTGATGTCACTTACCAATTAGACTTACCTCCTCAGTATCATGTGTCCCATTCATTTCATGTGTCCCTTCTCAAGCCTGTGGTTCCAGGTCTATAGGATGAGGTTAAAGCCGATGAGATACCTCCCTCTCCGGTGGAGATTGACAGCACCCCAGTTTATGCTGTTCATTGGTTGCTGGACCTTAGAAGGCATGGAGGTGTTCTTCAGTATCTCGTGGACTGGAAGGGTTATGGCCCAGAAAAACAGTGCTGGGTTCCTGCCAGTAATATACTAGATCCTGGACTGGTTGCCAGTTTTCATAATCGGTACCCAGAGAAGCCTCCTCCTCATTCTAGAGGTCATTCTAGGAGACAAGGTCCCAGTCCACTTCCCGGTTGTTCCCATGGTTGTCGTGGAAGTACCTTTTCGGTCCAGTGCCGCAGCAGTTGAAGAGCCTTGCCTCAAGCTGCGTGGGTGGTGGTCGTGGTGGTCGTCCTCATCCCTCAGCCATCCTGGACTCCTTGCAGGGGTTACTGTCATGCCTCCCTCCAGCTTTGTATGGACACTGATCCTAGACTCCAACTCCCAGAATCCCCCAGGAGAGCAAATAATGCTAACCCAACTGCATCAGCTAATCACTCTCCAGATCCCGGTCACCTGAATTCTAACCGGCCACATGTGATTGTCATCACTGTACCCTATAAAGACTGGTTCGCTTTGTTCTGTACTTTGCAGAGTATTGCCAGTTTGTTCTTGTTCACACTGAGCGTTCTCGCTTTCTGCTACTCTGTGTTTGACTTGGCTACATTTTTTAGCTCATTTTTGTATTTGTCCTTTTTGGCTTGGTCTATTTTTTCTCGTGTTTTGCCTCACAATTTCGACCTCTGTTTGGCCCCTGACTATCATTCTAATGTCTCTAATGATTGTTAGTAGACTCTCTCTGGTTTTGATCATTGCCTGTTTTACCACTTCGTGTTTGATTGATCCTTGTTACATTAAAGCCCACAATTTTCGCATTTTACAGATAAAATCTATTATTATTCCTTCTGTACTTTGTTTAAATGTGTATATAATTTCCATGTCAATAAAACATATCTTGTTAACTCTATTATTAACAGTCAGGGTACTTACTTTAGGCTGTAATCATGTTGATGTCATATATTTGATTAAGGCGGAATCAATGTAGGCGTTTGAATTGAGTAACTTTTTTTTTAAGAGCAGACACAGCACGTGTGTGTCACACTGGAGCAGCCGCATTTGTAGTTGTGGATAATAAGATTAAAAATGTTAATAAAACTCATGATTTATAATGCCATCTCTGTGCACAAGCCTGTGCCTAAGAGTGAGTGTGAGTTATTCATGCCAAATTTCTTCTGGTCACACCTTGCGGGTGTGACGGAGCTGCAGATTCAGTCTGAGATTAAAGCGCATGTGACTGTTTGGCATAAAAGCTCTTAAACCACAGCCTTCACCACACCAGCCTTTTGTGCTCTTAATCCACACTGAATTGTGGGTAAAATCCACTGCAGACATATTCTCATTTTAATTACAATCACGTGGCCCAGATTCAGAAATGTTCCCTATTTATTACATAGAACACTATTATACTGAACACAACTTTCCCCCAATCATGGTTCCCTACATTAGAACACTATTCTTCACCATGCGCACAATTATTCCCTACTCCTTAAACTGGAGAACACTATTATTCCAAGCAAGCAAGCAAAGTTTATTTATATATTATATTACATGTTAATGTCATATATATTTGATTAAGGTGAAACTGATACAGACGTTTGAATCGAGTAACTTTTTTTTTTGGCGCAGGCATAGCACGTGTGTGTCACACTGGGGCAGACGCATTTGTAGTTGTGGATAATGACATTAAAAATGTTAATAGTACTCATGATTTATAATGCTATCTGCGTGCACGTGCCTGTGCATGTGAGTGAGTGAGTGTAATTCATGCCAAATTTTTCACATTATGAAAATAATTATATTATTAACACTGTAATTCCCTATTCCCTACATTGAACAGCACTGTTACTTTCAATATCCATTATTATTCTGTATTCCCTACATCGAAGAATACTGTTACTCTCAATATACATTATTATGTCCCATTACCTACATTGAAGAATACTGTAACTCCCAATATCCATTATTATTTCCCATTACCTATATTGAAGAACACCGTTACACCCAATATCCACTATTATTCCACATTCCCTACATTGGAGAACACTGTTACACCCAATTCCCATTATTATTCATTATTCTGCACACTGGAGAACACTATTACTCCCAATTCCCATTATTATTCCATATTCCCTCTACATTGGAGAACACTATTACTCCCAGTTCCCATTATTATTCCATATTCACTACATTAGAGAACACTATTACACCCAATTCCCATTATTATTCCCTATTCCCTACATTGGAGAACACTATTACACCCAATTACAATTATTATTCCATATTCCCTACATTGGAAAACACTATTACTCCCAGTTCCCATTATTATTCCATATTCCCTACATTGGAGAGCACTATTACTCCCAATTACCATTATTATTCCATATTCCCTACATTGGGGAACAGTATTACTCCCAATTCCCATTATTATTCCATATTCCACACATTGGAAAACACTATTACTCCCAATTACCTTTATTATTCCATGTTCCACACATTGGAAAACACTATTACTCCCAATTCCCAATATTATTCCACTTTTCCCTACTTTGGAGAACACTATTACACTCAATTACCATTATTATTCCATATTCCCTATATTGGAGAACAGTGTTACTCCCAATTCCCATTATTATTCCATATTCCCTACATTGGAGAACACTATTAGTCCCAATTCCCATTATTATTCCATATTCTCTACATTGGACACTATTTTCTACAGTATAGCACTGAATAGAGCACTGCTATACAGACCAGAATTCATTACTAAAGTAAACGATTTCATATGCTGATGTAGCATGTTTGTCCATCACTCTCTAACTGTAGCCACATTCCACTGCATTTGACACTGCATTTTGGGCATTCCATGCCTGCTCGGACACCTATTGCAGTGCATTGTGGGACTGTAGGAGTGCGTTGCATTTTCTCTGGTATGTTTTCAGACCACTACAAAATGGTAGCCTCCCAACATAGTATGCCATACAGTGAATAGGATGCAGTTTAGAGTGAGTGAATAGTTCTTGCCTTGGTTGGAGCATTTATGATGGACACGTTGTAGCCGTACTGGAATGTTCCTCCTATACATGCAGCCCACACAGCCATCAGCAGGGTTTTACTGGGCACCTGCAAATAACACACGACATCAACAAACACGATGACCAAATTTCAGGTGTTTTCGAGAAAAATACAATAAAACACTGCAGCCACAGAACATCTGACAAACACTGAGTCATTTACACAGAGTCTATATCCGTAATATTTCACTGAACATTGAATTATGTCTTGTCGTGTGGTGTGAGCCACAGCACAAACACATACATTTACAGAAAGAGAAAATCATATAAGGTTATATTCCAAAAACACAACAGTGAGTGACTCTGTCAGCAGTGTTATTGAGTTAATTCAGCTGCCCCAAGTTGATTGCTAAACCTCATTATAGAAATGCATTTAACTATTTTTTGAATGGTTAACAAGCTAACTAACCAACTGACAAGCTAGCTAGGCACCTGACTAATTAGCTAACGGGCTCACTAGTCTAGCGAACAGATTAACTAACTAGCTACCCCAGCTAACTGACTGACTAACTAACTACACAACTGGCCTACTAAATAACACAAGAATTAACTGACTGACTACTAGCCAACTACATAACTAGCCTACTAACAAATTAATTAACAATCTAACTTCCTTGCTAACTAGCCTACCAACTGCCAAGTGGATTAACTGACTAACAAGCTAATTAGATTACTAGCCACACGTGTAAACTAGCAACCCAGATAGCAGACAGGTTTGGGCCGATTCTGGCCTCCCTATGTGAGTGTTGGTTGACTACCGGGTAGATGTTAGGCATGTGGGCCAGAATAGGGTAAAATCCTGGACAGCTTCGTACCGTTTTGGCTTGTGTGTACATTTGTGGGACAATTCTGGCATGAATGTTGTGAACCAACAGTGTAGTTAGGCCAGATTAGGACCAGATTTGGTCCATATCCTTTAGTTCTACTCACTTTGCAGAGGACCCAGCCGTATACTGGGCCAGAACAAACCAAGGATGTGGCCCACAAGTGAGGCAGACACATTTTGCTAACTGGGAAATTGCCTCAATGACTGACTAACTTTATAATTACATAACTAGGCTACTAACACATGAACAAACTCACTACTAGTTAATTAACTTCACATAAAATCTTTAGAGTAATACAGTAATTTCTGTGAGCGCTAATGAGCAGTGTTGCCAAGACATGGCCAACCAACCTTTACAAATGGGGTAAGTGTGTGTGTGTAGGGTCAACTGGAATAAAACTGATTAGTATCCGTTGTCAGAAATGTTTTAATGTTATTATTATTATTATTGTTATTATTATTATTGTTATTATTATTATTATTATTATTAATGTTGTTGTCATTCCCTTAAACTGCTTTACAAAGATCATTAGAGCCATTAGGATTAAAACCAGATGGTTTTGCATGGAACTGGCTTAATGGTTACTGTTAACATCAACTAGTTCTCTGCAGAACAGTTTTAGAACCTGTAAGGAAACCATGAAATGCATCTAGCATCAGACTATGAATGGACATTGCAGGCCAAAAGTTTCTCTCAAAACTATCATAGAACAGTGTCTCAGACCTCAGGCAGCGTATTCGTAACCATTTCATGTAGTAACTTTCTGTGAGGGAGCTTTTAGAGGTGGACGTCTGGTTCCTATCACCACCATTGTGAACAATTCTGACTTGGTATGTTTTTCTATAACAGAGCATTTTTGCAGCAAACCACTCTGAATGACTTTATTTACATCTTAACAACTGACTTATGGAGATATTTAGAAAAAAATGGTGGAATTCCTCTTTAAGACATTAGGACACTTTACCCATCAAGAAAAGCTAAAAAAGCACATTACAAAACCACCAGGAACCAATAGAAATGGTTTAATGGTTTCTGTTTTTTTCAGCCAGGGTGGGTCTACATCACTGATAACTACATTCAAACTACATAATGTTGTCTTCTGTACTTATGTACATTGTATTAATTTCAATAACAGTATTAATATTACTCACTGAACCACATGTTGAATAACTAACTGAATAATAGGCAGTTTAAAATAATAATTAGTATTATTATTATTTATTATAATGCCCATTATTTCAGATCCTACCTTTATCTGATGAACTTGCTCTGGTTCTTTGATGTCTTTTAGTAAAGGCTGATATTCCGACAGAGTTCCGTTTTCTTTACCCATTTTTTTTAGTATGTTTGTTCTCCCAGAGATGAAGTGTCAAAGTCTTCTCAGAGCTGTTTATGAAGGCTGCAGTCGGCCCGTCTGTGGGCTGTACGGAGGACGGCGCGAATATAAGAGCAGAAAACAGCAGAAACACAACTGAAGATTTGTTTGCATGACCCGAGTTCATCAAACGCCTCGAAACTGCAGCATGACGGCCGAGTTTATTCGGGGTGATGCTGCTGCTCCTCCTGCATGACCAGCTCGCTCACACTGCACACTCACATCGGCTGTGAATAAAGCATTGGATCTGCCTGGGCTGTAACTAACCCTGTCCTGCAGCCACACATACACATAATCAAGCTGGCTTACCTTCAACCTCACATGTGGAGAATCCTCAGTTTCACTCATTCTGAACTTGCAGTGAATTTGGCTGAAAAACAGCAGCCGGTGGAGGCTTTGGCAGGAGGAAAGGTGCAAACTGTGCTGCTGCTTTATGTAATCCAGACTGAGAAAGCCAAAACTTCATGCAGAGGGGCGGTGTGAGGGTGTATATGTATGGGTGCTTAACCTGCAGCTGATTAACTCTGACCTCAAACCCCCTTCAGCCGAAGAAGGGGGGTATATAGGCTACATGTTTAGTACAACAAAATACAGCATTGAATATTTACCAACTTTTGTTCTGACCTCATATAAAAAGAAATATAATAATTAAAGAAATAAATTTTGACTGGAGTCCTGATTTGCTGATTGGTTTTGATCACAAAGAATTCATTGTTGCTGAAGTCAAGTGACCACCAAAACGCCCATAAACCCTCTTTGACCTGCTGCATGCAGATCACAGTGGGAAGTGTGGTCAGATAGCTCATGTATTCCAGTGTTAAATCTCATAATTAGTCACGCACATGTTGTATATCTGCCCATGCATCTTGACGGATAACCTTTAATAATGAAAATGTACAACCGGGATGTAAAACAAAAGTGGCCCTACAACTGACACCTGTGGAACACCACAAGTGACAGCATCCTATTAACTTTAATGAGCTGCTGTTGACTAATCAAGTAAGAGTGGAACCAAGACCATGAAAATCCAGCAGAAGAGCTATATTGAATGCATTACTAATGTCCTACAAAATCCCCATGCCACCAGAGTCAGCTGAGAAGAAAGTCAGTGATGACTCTGGCAAATGCAGTTGATGCTACAATTCTTCCAAAAAGCAGACTAGAAACTGTCTTAAAGCTCATAGTATGCAAGACTGAAGACACCATGCTCTAGTACTTTGGAAAATTAGTAACTAGTAAGATAGCACCGAGGTCAACTTTTTTTCAACCAGGGTGATGAAGTCCATTTTTGGAACCTCAGGAACATAGAGAAAAATTAACAATGTGAGTAGTGAACAGACTGACCTGTAGCGGACAGACCACAATAAAACCAGGACAGTAGAAATGTGATCAACATAGAAAGTAGGTGAAAAATCTAGATATTCTAGATATAACTTTAGCCATCTCAGTCACACTAACTAAAAAGTTCCATAGCAGTTTAAATAATGCTACAATATCACTAAGGGAAATAAGGTTATGTGTTGAATTGCATTGAATTCTGATGGTATTTGCCTGGCTGTGTTGAATTCAGATGGTATTTGCCTGGCTGTGTTGAATTCTGATGGTATTCGCCTGGCTGTGTTGAATTCTGATGGTATTTGCCTGGCTGTGTTGAATTCTGATGGTATTTGCCTGGCTGTGTTGAATTCAGATGGTATTTGCCTGGCTATGTTGAATTCTGATGGTATTCGCCTGGCTGTGTTAAAATCTGATGGTATTTGCCTGGCAGTGCCGAATTCTGAAGGTATTTGCCTGGCTGTGTTGAATTCTGATGGTATTACCTGGCTGTGTTGAATTTAGATGGTATTTGCCTGGCTGTGTTGAATTCAGATGGTATTTGCCAGGGCTGTGCTGAATTCAGATGGTATTTGCCGGGCTGTGTTGAATTCTGATGGTATTCGCCTGGCTGTGTTGAATTCTAGTGGTATTTGCTGGGCTGTGTTGAATCCTGATGGTATTTGCCTGGCTGTGTTGAATTCTGATGGTATTTGCCTGGCTGTGCTGAATTCCGATTGTATTTGCCTGGCTGTGTTGAATTCTGATGGTATTTGCCTGGCTGGGTTGAATTCTGATGGTATTTGCCTGGCAGTGCCGAATTCAGATGGTATTTGCCGGGCTGTGCTGAATTCAGATGGTATTTGCCTGGCTGTGCTGAATTCTGATGGTATTTGCCTGGCTGTGCTGAATTCTGATGGTATTTGCCGGGCTGTGCTGAATTCAGATGGTATTTGCCTGGCTGTGTTGAATTCAGATGGTATTTGCCGGGCTGTGCTGAATTCAGATGGTATTTGCCTGGCTGTGCTGAATTCTGATGGTATTTGCCAGGCTGTGCTGAATTCTGATGGTATTTGCCTGGCTGTGCTGAATTCTGATGGTATTTGCCTGGCTGTGCTGAATTCAGATGGTATTTGCCTGGCTGTGTTGAATTCAGATGGTATTTGCCGGGCTGTGCTGAATTCTGATGGTATTTGCCTGGCTGTGCTGAATTCTGATGGTATTTGCCTGGCTGTGCTGAATTCAGATGGTATTTGCCGGGCTGTGTTGAATTCAGATGGTATTTGCCGGGCTGTGTTGAATTCAGATGGTATTTGCCTGCCTGTGTTGAATTCAGGTGGAATTTGCTTGGTTTGTGTGTCTGTCTGTTTGCTTTGCTTTTGACCGCTCTGATTCACAAACTGTTTTCACCCACAGGATCGTCTATCTCTGGGAGGTTTTTTGCCTTTTTCACTATTCTCAGCAAACCCTTAAAATAGTCATGTGACTGGTGAGATACAAGTTTTACAGCCAGTCATTCAAAAGATGTCGGATCGTCAGTAAAATGTGTTGGAAGGATATGTAGTGTTGGTAAAAGATGGCCCACTCACCACCTCGCCAAGAAGGGTGGGGTAAGACTGTATAGATGACAGTCAGAAGGAGCTTGATTAAGCAAATAATGCTCATTAGGCTTTTACCAAGTTTCTGCCAGACACAGCGAATCAACATTACTGTCACAGATGTATAAATTCACACCTAATGCCTTGATGTCACTTCAGTACAAAACGCTCTAGTTTTTTTGGTATGCGGTTGAAGATTAGCCAAATTCCTTGTTTTGGTGACCCCATTTCTACCGTCCTGGTTTCAGTATGTCTACAGCAGGTCTGTCTGTTCACTACTCACGTTGTTAATTTTTCTCTATCTTCAGGCTCCAAAAATGGACTTCGTCACCCTGTTCTAAAAAAGCTGACCTTGAGACTAGCTTGCTAATTACTCTTGTTACTCTGAGCAAAGTGCTAGAATGTGTTTGAGTCATCAGTGACCTTCTTCTCAGTGCTAACTCGGGTAGCCTATGTATCTTCATACTGTAAGACACACAGCTCTGCTGGAGTGCCTGCACAGGCTTGTTGGTGTTGTCAGCCTTGCACTGTCTCAGTTCTAGTATTACCTGAGTAATGCTTTCTTTTACAGTCCTCTGAGTTCTAGATATTAACAGGGTATATGGGTGGTACAGAAGGTAAATATTTTTAAATATCATGATGGTGCATTCCAAGACAGTCTGAAATGTCTAACAGGTTCTAGCTAATAACTGGCTAAGTATACGGTACAAAATCTGAAGTGCTGTGTAATTATTTTGGGTAAAATGATAGTAATAAACCAGTAAGTCTAACCAAATTACACTGAAATACCCAACCGGTTCTAGCGATTAAGTTGATAAAGGATAAAGTAAAATATATCGTAAATATATCATACATGGATCTGTATTTCACTGTACAAGACATACAAGTCTTATATAGTTTGCAGCATGGACGCAGCCACGGGGTGGCCAGAGGTGTCCAGAGCCACCCTAGTATGAAGCACTAGGCCAACCCCTCTGGTCATCCCAGTTATGCAAACTGAGACAGCCAGCCATCATTAGAACTCACCAGAGGAAAGTTCTTACCTACACACTTAAAAAGATGGTTCTTCAAGGGTTCTTTACACTAAATACCATTACTGACTGTTAAACCTTAAAAGGTTCTTTGCTTGGAAAAATGGTTCTTCAGATTGATGAAGAATGTGTGGTATATGTTTCTGTACAGAACCTTTTTGAGAAGGTTTCTATAGAGCACCAAAAAGGTTCTGCTATTGCTGCGATGTCAAGCTTGTAACAATGGAAGAACCCTTTTTGGTGCTCTATAGAACCATATTAGCCATTTCAACACATCCATTTCACCATGCAAAGAACCATTTAGGTACCCCTTGTTGAAATGTTGAAGTGTTGATATATATATATTTCATTATGACCACCTCCTTGTTTCTACGCTCATTGTCCATTGCCCACTTTTACACTGTTCTTCAGTGGTCAGGACCCCCATGGACCCTCACAGAGCAGGTACTATTTTAGTGGTGGGTCATTCTCAGCACTGCAGTAACACTGACGTGGTGGTGGTGTGTTAGTGTGTGTTGCGCTGGTCTGAGTGGATCAGACACAGCAGTACTGCTGGAGTTTGTCCACTCACTGTCCACTCTATTAGACACTCCTACCTTGTCGGTCCACCTTGTAGATGTAAAGTCAGAGACGATAGCTCATCTGCTGCTGCACAGTTTGTGTTGGTCATCCTCTAGTCCTTCATCAGTGGTCACAGGACAGGACGCTGGTGGCTGGATATTTTGGTTGGTGGACTATTCTCAGTCCAGCAGCACTGCTGTGTCTGATCCACTCAGACCAGCACAACACACACTAACACACCACCACCACGTCAGTGCTGAGAATGATCCACCACACTGCTCTGTGAGGGTCCATGGGGGTCCTGACCACTGAAGAACAGGATAAAAGGGGGCTAACAAAGTATGCAGGGAAACAGATGGACTACAGTCTGTAACTGTAGAACTACAAAGTGCACCTATATAGTAAGTGGAGCTGATAAAATGAACAATGAGTGTAGAAACAAGGAGGTGGTCATAATGTTATGCCTGATCGGTATATATATATATATATATATATATATATAGAGAGAGAGAGAGAGAGAAGAGAGAGAGAGAGAGAGAGAGAGAGAGAGAGGCAGATGTAGTGTCCGGGCCTGGCCGAGCGGGGGCAGAACTTCAGTCAGGAGGAACCAAACAATCAAAAAACCCACCGCGGAACGAAGCGCTGTGGCCGTGTTTCCGGAGGGAAGAGAGGGAGATGGACATTTCCGCCGTTGTTTGTCTGTTTGGGTGAGACAAAGCGGAGAAATTTAAAAAATAAAAATAAATAAAAACTTGGAAAAATTAAAAAAGCACTGCAACGCTAAAAACTACAGGACTTATAAAAGCCGGGATACGGATTAAAGCTGGAGGAGAGAAACACGAACAGCAGAAACTGAGGATTTTTAACGGAGCCGGAGATGAAGCTGCTGAAACCGAGCTGGGTCTCTCAGAACGGTAACCTAAACGTTTAAATATTCATCAAAATAATTATCATAAACTCTAAACGTTCACCACTGACCCGGACCGGGTCTCACAGAACGGTAACCTAAACATTTAAATATTCACCAAAAATAATTATTGTAAACTCTAAACATTCACCACTAACCCGGACTGAGTCTCACAGAACGGTAAACATTTAAATATTCATCAAAATAATAACTGGTGGTTTTGGATAGTAAATAAAATGTCTATATTTGTGTTTTAGTCATAACAACCATGTTTAATTGGATTTAATGCATTGCAATGTGTGAAATGTTGAATATCATGTATTGAAATCATTGTATTTGTGGTTTTTGATTGTAGTTGTCAAATGTGGCATTACTGGTTGTCTTTTGACTGTTGCAACTGATCAGATATCAGAAAAATATCCAATGAAAATGTCTTATATACATAATTTTTGGCATATCACCCATCCCTAATGGTAGTATCCTGTTAACAGCAGGCTTTATACTAGAGATGCACTGATACGGGATTTATGGGCTGATGTTTTCCGTGTACGTATCTGTGGATGCCAATACATAAACATTTATAAAATGTAGGAATTATGGAGAAATGTCATGTTTAGTTGTAAAGGGTTGGAAATGCCATAAAATGAATAAAACGCAGATGTTTTAACGTAGTCTAAAATTTCCCCTGTTCGAGAGAACAATAAATGTCATCTAAAATCAGTTTCGAACATTGGTCAGATCTAAATAACCGTCCGATTCTGATACATTCTTTTAAACTATTATCTTCCAATACCGATATGATTCTGATATCATCGTACATCCCTACGTCATGCATGAGTAATTAAAATGTGAATTAAATAGTAAAATATGGATGCGTGCTCTGTGTGTCAGCACTATTTTCCCACCCTAAATATCGCCATGCTATGTTGTTTTTTCGCCTCGTCCCACAAATGAATCTAAAAATGATATTCGCTTTTGGGTTTTGATGGTTTACTCCACATTTGTGGCTTCTGATTTAATTTCCGTCATTTGCATAAAAAGAATATGCAGGACAAGAACTGGCTGATGTTTCATAATGATGTAATATAATCTCTTTTGCAGGGAAACCGATATTTTCAGTCGATATTCATCCAGATGGAACAAAGTTCGCCACAGGTGGTCAAGGTATGAAACAGAGTTGAATTACTATTATTAAAGATATTATAGTTTTATTATAGTAATCTGTTATGTTGTTAATTATGTTTAAATTGTAATGTAGTGATTAATTTGTTTACACGTATTATAGTGACTTTTTATTTATTTATTTTTTTTACAAACACACTCAACATTTTCAACATTTTTCTTGAAAACTGAATTCTGTTGACACTGACCCAAACGCTGTGGTGTCGTGTGTGAAATGTTTGCAGGGGAGGACTCGGGGAAGGTTGTCATTTGGAACATGGCTCCGGTTCTCCGAGAGGAGGATGAGAAAAATGAGAACGTTCCCAAGATGCTTTGCCAGATGGACAATCATTTAGGTACAGCAGAACTGAGTTTTACATTTAATTACATTACATTTCAATTTGGTTTTAACAGTTTTTCTCCCTTTATGTTTTATTGATGTTTTTTATTGGTGTTTTTAATGTTGTATGTTACTTTATATTTGTGTTCTCATGTTTGGATTATTGAGGAGCGAATAACAAATAATTTTTATTTTTGTAATCATAATTTTAATTTATTTAGGGCTGTCAGACAAATACAATAATGGATTGCGATTAATTAAGTCTTTTTTCATAGTTAATTGTGATTAATCCTGTGTGTCTTACTTGCTCAGATCTGACCTTCTAATAATTCAGTGATGTTATTTTCATAGTGTGAATGCAAAGCCTGAACATGGAAATCACACAATTTCAGTAGGAACCTTTGGGTGCCCCGGTCAAATTCCATGTTTTGTTGATTTTCTAAATGATTCTCATGCAAAGTTACTGTTTATTTGCTGAATTTAACAAATTGGGGGAAATTAAAACATAAAATATGGCCTTTGCGAAATTTGACACATTTTCTATTTTATGTTTTATTTTTCCAGTATATTAAATTTAGTAAATAAACGGTAATTGTGTATTAAAATGTGCAGGAGTGTGTTCTCTGTAGAGGATGTGTTCACTTGTTTTCACTTAAAAAATCAGCAAAAACGTTCAGTTTGACCAGGGCTGTGCGACGGTACAGTCAGTAGTTCAGCTTCTCCGTGATTGTGGCATCTCAAATTCCTTCATGTAGCTCATGGATTCTTGATCCAGTGGAGGCTCTCAGGAACCTGGAGCTCCACGAAGCTGCTGCTTTTATTAGTTTGCTGGTAGTTAATTTATCTGTTATGTGCATGCTGTCCATTTAGTCTACTGAAGATGATGGAAGTATCGCTTTAAAAACATTTAAAAGCTGTATTTGAATGAGAGCACTACAGTCATCGATTCTCTTATAGTGGTGTTGATTTCTGCATAACTTCTGTATAATTCAGTGAGTAAACAGAGAGATTCAGAGTGGTTTGGTGTGAAATGGTTCAGAGGTCTTTACAGTGGTGGTGATAGGAACCAGGGGTCGCCATGACTACAACACAAATATAGACATTTTATTTCCTATCCAAAACCACCAGTGAACCTACACGAGTCTTCTGAGTTTATATGGAATGTTGATGATGGAAAACAGTGGAAAATCTGAAATAAGAAGTTTTCTTTGGGGACTATTTTGCTTTATAACGCCCTGCATGTTTCCCTCCACTCTGAATGGATTCACAAAGCTATCATAAAACAATGTCTCAGGATTCAGGCAGCGTATTCATAACTAATAATTTTATGTAACAGCTTTCTGTGAGGGAGCTTTTAGAGGTGGACGTCTGGTTCCTATCACCACCACTATGAACAAATTTCACACCAAACCACTCTGCATGACTCTGTTTACATTTTTATCAGTTAATTATACAGAAATTTTAAGTTCTCCTTAAGTGAGCAAAAGGGTTGTGTGTAATGTGACTGTATGTGTCTTTCAGCATGTGTGAACTGCGTGCGCTGGTCCAATAACGGTCTGTATCTGGCCTCGGGAGGGGACGACAAACTGGTCATGGTGTGGAAGAAAGCAGCGTGAGTGACACATGCACACTGTAGGGCTGCACAGTATGCACAAAATACCAGAACTGTGATTGTGTTGTTGTATATTGGAGTTGCGACACGTCTTATGATATACTGAAAATGCACTGGTTACTGATCAGTGTAATGTTTTGTTCATAATCATTGTATTTTAGTCATTTTTATTATTTTATTTAATAATGGCAGTTCACAATTTGGTTTGATTATTTTTATATTTAATTTGGTATATTTATTATTTAATTTGTGTAAGTTGCTTAATTTCATTTTAGTTGCTCTTGGCTAATAGTTTATTTATTTATTTTTAATACCTCTCTTAGTTGCTTGTTTGATTTTAGTTGATTATTTTATTTGATCATTATTTTTAATTAGACATCCACCAAAATGAAAATTCTTGACTGAAATTTAAATTCAGCATGCACTAAGTCGAAAACCGAAAATGAAGCAAAAACGAAACAAAAGAAAGTTCTTTTGTATACAATTTGCTGTTTTATTTATGCTTTTGAGTTAATGTACTAATGCTGGCGATGCTTCAGATGTGATAATTCCTGTGTTGGGAACGAGAGAAACTATAGGACCAGTTTAATTTTAAAGCTTACTAAATATGTATTAAATATTTAATATTAAAAGTTGTAAAATAATGAAAATCTAATACTTGTTAGCTTCCCACAGGCATCTGAAACTAAAATCCCAAGTGCTGTAGTGACAGAAACTCCACACATTATGAATTAGTAAAGTGCATGGATGTGGATTTGCAGTCTGAAGTTTCTCCAGCAGGGGCGCTGTTAGCACACATCGCTATAGTGTTTGTCGGGTAGAGAAGAAACAGCTGTGAACCCACAACAGCAGGATCTAGTTTTAATCCATACTTTGATAACATTCAGATTAATTAAGTGTTAGATTTTGACACTCCAGTGTCGACCTGCTGTGCCACTGTGGCCGAAATTTTTCTAGTTTTGATAGTTTTAGTTGGTTTAGTCGTTTGAATTTCTTGCCCTGTGCAAATGAAGGGCACCCTTAATATATACAAAGCTTAAATAAAGGTTGATTGAAAATGTTAATTCATCAAATTGAAATTCATGCACAGAAACTCATATGGAACTGTGATTGGTCAATATGATTTGTATTTTGCAGGCCTTTTTCTGTATTTCAGTACAGTAAAGCACAGCATTGAGAACAATAAATTGATGATATATCATGCAGGCCACACATGTGCACGCACTAATTAGCTTGTTTGTCGTGTTTCAGGTTTATCGGTCCCAGTACGGTGTTTGGGTCGAGCAGTAAACTGGCCAACGTGGAGCAGTGGAGATGTGTGACCATCCTCAGAAACCACACAGGAGGTGAGGGGGAGTGTGTGCTGCTCGTTGGCTTTCGAAACTGTTGTGGATTTAATTTTTCAGTTGTATGTATTCTACAGTCGTATGGCACCCCTCGTCAAATTCCATGTGTTTCTATGTGAAAATAAGTGAACATATCCTCTACAGAGAACAAACTTCTGCATAGTTTTATGCACGATTACTGTTTATTTGCTGAATGTAACATATTGGGAGGAAAGAAATAAAACATAAAACGTGACCTGTGCAACAGTTATGCCATGTTTTTATATTTAAAGTTTTGTTTTTTCCAGTGTTTTTTTCCAAATAAATACAAATTGTGCACTAAAATTTGAAAAAAAAGTGTGTTCTCTGTAGAGGATGTGTTAAATAAGAAAAATAACAAAACATGCAGTTTGACCAGGGGAGTTCAAACTTTTGCTTTGCTGTTCTGTTTTGGTGTGTGTTCTACTATAATTAATGCATAGTATTTTGTATCAGTGCTGGGCTCTAAGTGTTTGATTTTAGATTTCATGGATGTGTACGTGTGTTTTCAGATGTAATGGATGTGGCCTGGTCCCCTCATGATGTTTGGTTGGCCTCCTGCAGTGTGGACAACACTATCGTCATCTGGAACGCTCGGAAATTCCCAGGTTTGCACATTAGAGGGCAGCAGGCAGAAGGCATGGGAACGAGATACTAATGCGTGGCCATCACTTAGTAAAGCGTTAGAATGAGATAATTAAGCCTTGACCACAGCTTAATAAGGCATAATCTTGTTCCCATGCCATACTAAGTCATGGTCACACATTGTTTGTACTTTGCAGCTGTTGGAAAAAAAACGTGTATCTCCATTTTTGTTGTTTTTCAGTTTTTGACATAGTTTGAAAATACCTGTTGTCCTTTACATTGTTTGTAAATTTAATTAAGAATGGACCAAAAGAATGACCCAAAAAGTCTGGTTCCGTTGACTTACATGAAAAGTAAAGTATGTTTTTTCCTTCTCCTGTAAAGTTACCATTTTGGAGATACGAGGTTTGTGTTCCGACAACAGCTATATACAGGATGTCACCAGCAGGGCTCCGTAGGGTAACCACAGTTAAACAAAACAGCAGTTCTTGTTACTTTTACTTTCCCTGAGGTTTCCTAATATCCATGATGATCAGGTGAAAACTCCACCTTCAAAGCTTTGCTGGAAAAAAATGACCACAAATTCATCCACAAATTCAAAACGATCTGCCAAAAATGATCACAAGTGGCACAAAATGAGAAAACAGACTGAAAATTGTGGCTGAAAAAAATCTAAAAGATTAACTAGAACTAAAACGAAGTGTACAGCAAAGCAATAAGCACAGAAAGGAAAGTCCCGACACCATCTGTAGTCACAGTTTTGGAAAAAAACTCTAAAGACCTAAAATTAATAGAATAATTTGATTTAATCACTAACTGTTCTCTGTTGTTGAGGATGGTGGATTTTCTAGGCACAAAATGTACAAACTCTAACTAAACAAATTAATATTAATGTTTATTTATTTGAAACTGAATATTATAAAGCCTTTTTTCAGTTCAGTTCAAGATTTATTCATTTCAAAATTTATTTGTGTAGAACGTTTTACAAAAAATCCAGGTGCATGAGTGTCGAACGGTGACGGTGGCAAGAAAAACTCACTAAGTAGAAAAAGAAGAAACCTTGAGAGGAACCAAGAGGGGAACCCATCCTCCTCTGGTCCACACTGAATAGCAAAATAATATGTCAAAGCAATATAAATGAAGAATACATATTTGACAGTGAACATACGGTAGTTAATATATAATCAATAAAAGAATCATTTTTTATTGGATAAAAGTGTTTATGATGACTGCTGTTAGTGTTTTTCCTTCATTACCTTGTAGTTATTTTTTAAAATGTTCATCACATTCATTCAGAAACATAAATAAATAAAAAAACAAATGTCCTGAATTTCAGTTTTAGCCAAGAATTTATGAAAACATTAAAGGGGAAGTTTGCTGTTCGGTTTCTGTACTTGCCCACTGACCACAATTATAAGTGAATTTTGAATCCATAGGTCTTCTGCTCTCTTCTACGGAGAAACGGGCTGTGATTGTCGGCCGTGGTAATTGACCGTTGCTCTAATAACATTTCGGAAACTTGTTTCTGTGTGTGCAGAGATCGTGACGACTCTGAAAGGTCACACTGGTCTGGTGAAGGGTTTAACGTGGGATCCTGTAGGGAAGTATATTGCGTCCCAGGCTGATGACCACAGTCTGAAGGTGTGGAGGACTATGGACTGGCAACTGGACACCAACATCACCAAGCCATTCAGCGAGGTCAGCACTGCATCCTGCATCTTACAACGACTACGTTTTGTCCCTGATTGGTCTGGAGGTTCACCCTGATCGATCAGAAGGTTGCTTCTGATTGGTTAGAAGGTGGGAACTGATTGGTCAGGAGGTTCACTCTAAATGGTCAGGAGGTTCACTCTGATTGGTCAGGAGGTAGGCCCTGTTTGATCGGAGGGTTGCTTCTGATTGGTTAGAAAGTGGGAACTGATTGGTCAGGAGGTTCACTCTGATTGGTCAGGAGGTAGGCCCTGATTGATCAGAGGGTTGCTTCTGATTGGTTAGAAGGTAGGAACTGAGGGGCCACAAGGTTCACTCTGATTGGTTGGGAGGTAGGCCCTGATTGGTCAGGAGGTCACCCTGATTGATCAGAAGGTAGAAACTGAGTGGTCAGGAAGTTTACTCTGATTGATCAGAAGGTAGGCTCTGATTGATCAGGGAGTTGCTTCTCATTGGTTAGAAGGTAGGAACTGAGTGGTCAGGAGGTTCACCATGATTGATCAGAAGGTTGCTCCTAATTGGTCAGAAGATTGGCTCTGCTTGCTTAATAGGGTAGGCTCTGACTGGTCAGGAGGTTGGCCTGATTTTCTGACTGAAACACTTTTCCTTTATTAGACAGTCACAAAACTCACCCACTTTCAAAAATGTAACAAGCGTGTTCAGACCTTCTCCTTACAATCACATATTTCGTCCACAACACACACCATTGTTTTAAAATATAACCTAAAAATTCATCCAAGAGAATTAAAGCTCAGTAAAATGAGTTTTACTGCACTTAATGTAGAACTTTATTTAGCCTTAGATAGTTTTACGTTGCTGTTTATTTAAATTTGATGTATTTGTTTTATTGTAATAAACAGGAGCCAGTGCCAACCGCTAAACTTACCTACATTGTCTTCTCTCTCCGTAGTGTGGTGGTACCACTCATGTTCTTCGTTTGAGCTGGTCTCCTGATGGTCAGTATTTGGTGTCTGCGCACGCCATGAATAACTCCGGACCGACGGCTCAGATAATTGAGCGAGACGGCTGGAAGACCAACATGGACTTCGTCGGCCATCGCAAGGCTGTCACTGTGGTGGTCAGTAATAACCAAAATAAGCAGCAAAATAATAATGCTGAAGGGTTTCACTGTTAAATGGATGCTTTAAGATACATTATGGCAGTTACTGTAGGTGGTGTGGCATGTCAGAGTATGTAGATTTGAATGTAAACCTAGAACAAAAGAAAACAAATCTAACAGCAGAATTGTAGCCTGTGTTTCTGAGGATTAAATAACTGTCAATTAGTCACCTCAGCATATATTTGCCCCCCGTTAACATACTTTGTTTAAATCTCCTTCCTGTAGAAGTTTAACCCGAAGATTTTTAAGAAGAAACAGCGTAACGGCAGCGCCCCCAAACCCAGCTGCCCGTACTGTTGCTGCGCTGTGGGCAGCAAGGACCGCTCACTGTCTGTCTGGGTGAGATAATGGTCTTTGTACCTTCGTGACTTTAGGTGCCATGGGGTTATTTTACTGTTTGTCATGATGTTGTGCTTTTAATACATCAAATACTTGCTGCAGAAATAAAAGAAATGTAATAAATTCTGAAACAGACTCTTAGTAAACACATCTAATCAACTGTACTACTGTGTGAAAGCTGTAATAAAATATGTTAAAGTTTGCTCTTTGTTTAATTTTTAGCTCACCTCACTGAAACGCCCTCTAGTGGTCATTCATGACTTGTTTGATAAGTCCATCATGGATATTACATGGTAAGACATTTATTTCTTTCTGTGGTGGTTTTGGACCATGCTATATGTGTTAATGTTTGAATGGTCAGTGTGCTGGATGCCGGTTAAGGTCAGTGCTAGACTGAGGGCTTTTCAACAAGTGCAAATTCATTGACGGTGTAACTTAATCCAAGGCTGGATGTATATTGTGAAATATCTAAGTACTTTTAGTCTATCTATTAACTAGGGCTGGTCATTATGACTGTGTTTGTAGGTTATGTTATAAATTCTGCACATCACAATATGCTTTTCAGAATATATGGTCAGTACTTAAAGAACACTGATCAGCTGCATGTTTCATTATGACCAGAGCATAATTAGTCTGGTTTAATTAAATTTGGTGTGGGTTAGTGTAAGAAATATCTAACACTTTACAGGGTGTCCCAAAAAAATTTACATAATTTGAGATGTGAATATATGAGTAACTACATGTCCTGACAAGCGAAATTAAAAAGGCTTCATGTTGAACAACACAAGATTTATTTATCAAAACTCGAACAAGAAATTCAGAGGGATGTAGATTTTATAACCGATTTCACAGCTTTACAAATGTTCAATATGCGCACTGCCTGTGACTCGACACACGTCAAGTCGGTAGTCCAGCTGTGTTGAATTTTTTGTGCCGTGTCCAAATCTGCTTTCCAGTTGGTGCATTTTTGTTGAATTTTCTGGAAAATGCATGCCGCACACTCTTGTTTGACTGTGTTCTGGCATATTCTAACACACAAAATGCCTTTTTTTATTTCTAGTAAACGTCATTCTTCAACCTGAAAAAAAAAAAACATTTAAAATTAAACTTGGTTAGTTTTTACACATTTTGTTAAACTTTGAGATCATTTGAGGGAGAATTGGCTGTTATTAGACTACGGAATTATGTCAGTTTTTTGGAAACCCTGTACTTACGGTTGTCTGACATTTTTATAATACATACATACATCATCTAATTTCTAATCTAATCTGCATTTTTATAATATCTTACAAAAACTCTTTGCTTGTTAATAAATGTTTTAGTGAGCACTTTTTAATTTTAAGTGTTTTACATTATATTAATATGGACTAGTATGTCATTTTACTGAAACATTTTTCAAAGTAAAAGTCCTTGTTTTTTTATTTTGAAAAACTGTTATTTTTAGTAAAACACCCTCATTTCTGGACAGCCAAAATAAAAATGGCCTCAGTTCCCCCCTTTGGTCATTAAGGGCTTTGACACTCATGTACGTTTCACCTATAGTTTCAGCTTCTCTTTAATTATTGTTTTTTTTCAGGCCTTTGTTGCTCTGCATGCCACCCATTCGACAGTCTTAGTGGGGTGGTGGGACTCACTGCATGAAGGAATTTTACAGGGCTATAATACTCACTCATTCCCTATAGATGCTGAATAGCCACATGAAAGTACATAAACTACTTTATGTTGAAATTTAAAGATCCACATACCACGGATTTCTGTCCGGTTAGCTTCCATCACTTTTGAGGTAAAGGCAAAACAGAATTTAAGGATCGTTGGGGGAAAAAAGTGCAACATATACCGAAATATTCAATACAGATCATTGCAATCATAGTTTTCGATAGTGTTTTGTGGCATTATTAGTTTTTTTTGTCTGTTCCAACTTAACAGATGCCAGAAAAAATAAATATTGCGGCAAATCATGTATTGTAAAACTTTGAAGTACTGTGATATTATATTTTTGCCATATATCACACCTTATATGTACTAAACATGCTTGACTCTAAGGGTACAAGGTGCTGTGTGGAGTTAGCTCGCTGGTTTTTTTGTTGCAGTTTTTGTGGAAGCGTTTCTGTGGTTTATCTCCTGCAGGACTCTGAATGGTCTGGGAATGCTGGTGTGCTCAATGGATGGAACGGTGGCTTTTCTGGACTTTTCCCAGGATGAGCTGGGAGACCCTTTAAATGAGGAGGAAAAGGTAGAGAGACACTCACACACTCTTTCTCTCTCCATTCATGCAATGTCAGTGAGAGTTCCTGGGCGAGACTCTTAATGCTGCAACCACTTACTGCTGTAACACGATAGAAATAAGTTTCTTATTAACCAAATATTAAAAATAGAGTCAGTGCATGTTGCTCCTGACTGATGAGGAGCTACCACAAAATAATTTATACTATTAAAAATGGCTAATTTTCTCCTGAGGTTATTTGAATAAAGCTGTTAATATCAATAAGCGATGTTATTCTCTAAAGGCAGATCTGAGGTTGTTGCTCCTTTATCTGAAATCTGGTGACTTTCCTGCTCTGTTACTCCTGCCTTTAGAACACCATTCACCAGAATATATACGGAAAGAGCCTGGCTATCACCATGGAGACGCAGCTTTCCTCCACCATTATTGAGAACCCGGAGATGCTGAAGTATCAGCAGGAGCGGCCGGGGGCCCAAGCCTCCAGTGGTACCCAGGGAGCCAGTCTGGAGAACCAAACGCCCAAACTGACCAACGTGGTCAACGGCGAGTCTCTGGAGGACATTCGCAAGGTCAGTAACAGACCACCACGCCACAACTTCACCACATCTTCACAACAACTTCACTAGGACTTCATGACATCTTCACATAAACTTCACATCTTCAGTACAGCTTCACTGCAGCTTTACATCCTCAGCACAACTTCAGCACAGCTTTACATCTTCAGCACAACTTTATATCTTCAGCACAACTTCACTGCAGCTTTACATCTTCAGCACAACTTCAGCGCAGCTTTACATCTTCAGCAGAGCTTCACTGCAGCTTTACATCTTCAGCACAGCTTCACTGCAGCTTTACATCTTCAGCACAGCTTCACTGCAGCTTTACATCTTCAGCACAGCAGCACTTTCAGCATCGCAGCTTTACATCTTCAGCAGAGCTTCACTGCAGCTTTACATCTTCAGCAGAGCTTCACTGCAGCTTTACATCTTCAGCACAGCTTCACTGCAGCTTTACATCTTCAGCACAGCTTCACTGCAGCTTTACATCTTCAGCACAGCTTCAGCGCAGCTTTACGTCTTCAGCACAGCTTCACTGCAGCTTTACGTCTTCAGCACAGCTTCACTGCAGCTTTACATCTTCAGCACAGCTTCACTGCAGCTTTACATCTTCAGCACAGCTTTACTGCAGCTTTGTCTTCAGCACAACTTCAGCAGTTTTACATCTTCAGCACAGCTTCACCGCAGCTTTACGTCTTCAGCACAGCTTCAGTGCAGCTTTATGTCTACGCAATAACCTCATGGTCACTTAACATCTTCATGGCACAACAGCTTCACAATAACTTCACTGTGACTTTACAACTTCACAGCTTCACAAAAGCTTCACTGTCACTTCAAGCCACAATAACTTTACCAACACTTCACTGCAGTGGGGGTGGGGTTGTGGTGGGGTCCAGGTTTTTAGGATTAATGGAGCAAACACAGAGACAGATAATCATGCAAAACAAAAGAGGTGCAGTTTTATAGATGGGAATCAATAGACAACAGAAAGAACACTGGCTGTGATCAGGCTGTATGATGGGCTGTAGGCTCAGGGAAACAGGTTTTGTTTTTGCTTAGAGTCAGGATTTGAATATGGAAAGCATGTATGATAGCGTGCTGATTGGAGGGAGCGTACCCCAGAGACACGGAAAATTCTAGAGAAGGCTCATTCAGCAAGGCAGGGAGGTATGAAACTTTTTCTCTCCTGATACCGATTCTAATATTTGGACTCGGGGTAGTGGCTAGTATGCAGCGCCTATCTGATAGTGTTAAAGAGGAATTCCACTGATTTTAAAAAAAATATGCACAGTTCAATTCTTAAGATGTAAACAGAGTCGTTCAGAGTGGTTTGGTGTGAAATGCTTCATTTTAGAGAAACTTGGCGAGTCAGAACTGTTCACAGTGGTGGTGATAAGAACCAGACGTCCACCTCTAAAAGCTCCCTCACAGAAAGTCACTACCTGAAATGATTTGGTATCTGAGACACTGTTTTGAGACTGTCCATGAGGCTTATACACAAGCTCCTCCACTGTTCTGTTTTTGCACAGAATCTGCTGAAGAAGCAGGTGGAGACCCGGACAGCAGACGGCCGGAGGAGGATCACTCCACTCTGTATCGCCCAGTTGGACACAGGGTAACACACACTAATATACACTATAAACAACTATGTGTCAAACACAAGTCAGGCCCGTGACACAGTCCTGTTTGGCCTGTGAAATTATTTAAATTTTCTATTCTAACTAGCCCGTTACACCCTGAGATGCACTACAGTCCCCAGCATGCACTGCAACATAGTGTGTGTTCTGACCCCCAACAACAATCTGTGGGCCAGTGGTTACACAACAAGGAAAAGATGCCTGACATCTAGTTCAAGCAAATAGGCAGTTTATTTTTATTACAATTTATTTTAAATTTTTGAATTATTTTTGAATAAGTGTTCAGTGCCTATTTTGAATAAGCAATGGCAAAATATTTAGTAAATATGAAATAAAAACACAGCTGGCCCACAGATTTGCTGAGATTTTTAATATGGCCCTTTTAGTGGTTGAGTTTGACACCCCTGCACTAACACAAACACTTGCATATCAGTTTTACTTAATTTTAAGGCAATTTTTATTATATTTTCCAAGATCTTTTAATTAAATTGACTTCTTCATCCTCGCCATTTTTCGAATGCTGTTTTTGTACAGTTAAAAGGCTACAACCAGGAAAACCTCCAGACATTTGCATCCTATGCACGTTGCTTTATCCCTCCATCAGTCTGTTCCCCCCATATACTTACCATGTGCGTCTTCAAACAGCTTTCAAGCTAAAATGAGCAAACCTGCTGTAGAGCTTCTGACATATTGATACAGAGAACCCTTCTGCTTGTCACACCACCATCCTTTTTCCTTTTCATCCCTTGCTTTGTGATCCCACTTCAGTTCCTTCTTCCTCTTACGGTTCACAAACTAAAGCCACTGAAGTATAAGTAGTAAGCTGGTCCTGACTTAAGTACACACTTAAGTCCTTTATACTGCTTTCAGTTTTTCATCCAACTATCATCCCGTGGAATTCTTCCGAGCTTAATGGTCTTTGGATTTTAGGTGTGAAATTATTTTGTACAAATTCTTCCCCTTCGTCGCTCTATGGTCCCAAAAACCCCATTGATTTCACTGCTTACTCATCTTTTGACCCAAAACTCTGCTTTCTTCTCTATGATTTTTGCTCTGTCGCATAAAAATCAGTACATTTTCATGCTGTTTAAATTGAAGTTCCTATATTCTTGTAATTGGCTTTTGAAAACCAACTCAGATTTTGCTTATTTATTTATTTATTTTTTTAATCTTCAAAAACGTCTAGTTTAAACATTGCTTAATCTATTGCTTAATCAGTTAAATCAGATTTTATCTCAATCGCCAGTTTGATTTAGGTTTGTGTGTTTATGCTGTTCTGTTTCATTGTTTAATCTTTTAGTGTTGTGTTTATTTTAGTAATGCACTGAGATGAGAATTCTTGGCTGAAACCATGATTCAGGACATACTGAGCCAAAAAAAGAAACCAAAACTATAAACAAATTAAAACAATGTGCTATGAGGTCCAGCTTTCCTTGGCACAGAGAGGTTTTTCATCCAGGGCAATAAATTCCATTATTTTCAGTTTTTCAGTTATTATAGTGCTTGCATGGACTTTTCTTTCTGCTTCTGTTGATTCTGCATATCGAGCCGGATGTTATGCTATTACACCTGTACTGTAGAACGTCTCGGGTGTTGTATCTGCTCCCGATGCTGTTTGAATGCATCTGTACTGACTGGCGCAGGAGAACAAAGAAACAGCATTTTTAATGACTGTTTCTTGTTTTCATTACCATTAAAATTATTTTTGAAGTCCAAGATTTTTACACTTCTTTGGAGGCCTATTTGAGTTTTTTCCTTCAAAAAACAAAGAGCCACTTTTGACTGTTATATCAGTATCAGTGGCTGAAATTTCAGTGCATCCCTATTTTATTTTGTAATTTATTTTTTTTGAAGTTTTATTTTACCTTTTTGTTTTTTTTTTTCTTTCTATTTGTATTTCACCTCTGGCATATGTTCTGTCTGTTATTAAAAGCCTATTAATTGTAGTAATAGTTATATGTATGTGTTTTGTGTGTTTTGTGCAGGGATTTCTCTCCCGCTCTGTTTAACAGTGTACCCATCCTGCCTGGTTCCTCGGCAGCCCCCCAGCTGACCCCCCAGCTCTCCTCTGACTCCAATACAGCAAACTCTCTCTGTCTGAGAGCCAATCAGGAGCCTGCAGCATCGCCCACTAAAACTGCCACTGATGACAAGGACAAGTCAGTATTTTTGTTTTTCCAAATTGCTGATTGGTCTCTGTACTAGGTATTTTCATACATATTTGACAGTGAAAATCTGCATTTTATAATTTGGCCAGATGGTGATGCTGGAGAGTTTCCTGCAGCGCCCCCTAAAGACCATACATTAGCTTGAGCTTAAATATCTCTGAGAGAAACCGTAATTATTTAAAGTTCTGTGTGTGGCAAGAGGAATTTACAAGTATTTATTTTATGGTGCAACGCAAGACATTTTAACTATCTCAGAATAAACACTTGGATCGTATGAACATTATAGAGCTCTTTTTCAATTATACAATAGAAGCCATATCGCCCCCTACGCTTCCTGTAGTGTATTACAGTCTGTCAGAATGACTGTGTGGATCATATGAACATTATAGAGGCTTTTTAAATGAAACAGTAGAAGCCATATCGCCCCCTACACTTCCTGTAGTGTATTACAGTCTGTCAGAATGACTGTGTGGATCATATGAACATTATAGAGGCTTTTTAAATGAAACAGTAGAAGCCATATCGCCCCCTACGCTTCCTGTAGTGTATTACAGTCTGTCAGAATGACTTTGTTAATCATATGAACATTATAGAGGCTTTTTAAATGAAACAGTAGAAGCCATATCGCCCCTACACTTCCTGTAGTGTATTACAGTCTGTCAGAATGACTGTGTTAATCATATTTTGATTATAATATTTAAAAAGTTCCTCTTGTGACTGCATTTTTCTTTGTTTTTGTACATCAGTGGAACTCCAGCCGTAAACTCCGCTGGTCAGAAATCCAATCTGCTACTAACCGCTGCTTCAAAGATCGAGCCAATGAAAGCCCTGGATTCACGGTTCACAGAAAGGTCAAAGGCCACACCTGGGGTCACCAGTGCACCTGCCAACATGGGCATTTCTTCACTTGACAGGTGACCATGTCGCTTGTCTCTGTTCGCATCTTTCAGCAGATCACTGGATGTAAAAATGTTGCAGATATGTTGTCAGTGCAGGGTTCTGGTACATACTGCAGGTTACTTGTTAAAAATATAATCTGTAACCTAATCCAAAGGATTACTATGTTAAAGTCACATAACTTGATTACTTTCGATTAATTTTGGGTCACTCTTTTCAAAGATAAAAAATTAATAACCGTCATTTTAAATTAAATTTCAATAAGATGGAAAACTACACTGTTTTATCAACCGATAGCACAAATTATAGTGGAAAAAAAGAACCAACAAATGACAGAATATTTTCAAGTGAGGAAATATCCTTTGCTTCTCACAAATAAGGCGAAGGGTGCTGTTGGGTGGGCTACTCTTTCCATTTTGGTAACATTCCTCGTTTAGGAGCTTAAAGTGCTTTTTCATGTCACTCGGATGACCGTAGCCCAGTTTAAGCTGATTTAGGAAATGCACTGTGCTGAAGCGGATGACTAATTCTATTGACTTTTTTTACAACCGTCCAGTCAGATTGGCTGTTGCTTTACCAATCACTGGGTGAGTTTATGTCGCCTGCGTAAAATTCCAGTAAAATAATGTTATGTATTCACCGTCTGAAAAACCTTTGTTTGGTGTCGGAGTGATTCCTGCTCGTTATCACATTATTTTTTACACTGTAACTCTAATCTGATTACTCACTGATTATTCTCTTTTTGTCTATAACGTTAATGGAATACAGTTACCTTCTAATAGAATCCTCATTATAGTGCTGTTACATGCATTCTGTTACTGCCCAAGTCTGTGGGAATGTTTTGTGAATATGTAGTTTTTTGTGGCTTTCTGTCTGTCAGGGTGAAGGACAGCGGAGGCGTGAAGGACTGGAAGATGAAGGAGGAGACGAGCAGCGACAGCGAAGATAAAGTGCAGAAAGCGCCACCTCTGGCCAAACGGAAGGCTGACATGGAGGGGGCAGAGGTGGTGGAGAAGAGGAAGAAGGGAAGACCCAGAAAAGATGCTAAACTGATGATGGCTGTGCCACAGGCGTACCCACAGGTACACAGAACCGTAGTCAAAAGCCTGTACAAACCTGTAGGAGAGCAGAGTGTAATCTATTACAGATGACCACTATTACAGATCATCAATACCTCGTAACTCCATTTTTTAAAATGTTATTTTCTCCACCATTTGAAAATGGCACATTCCCCTTCACATGGATCATCTCATGACCAACCCACTGCTTTTTCACATTACCACTGTATTTCGACATAAGGGCCGAAATATATGGTTGGGGAGCAGAAGTGGTGTTCCTTACTGCTTTAGCTAAGTCAAGGAACGTGTGCTTACTTATTACTTATTAACGTTTTATCACAGCAATGTTTGGAGCATGAACATTGACCCATCAAAGGACGTATGAACGTGGCTTAGTAATCGCTGCTTGAAAACGGCTAGTTGTTACTGTTGAAATGTGTCCATTAAATGTTTCTATTTAATGCCAATGCTTTACTGTTTTAGGCCTGTATGAGGAATTGGTGTAGACTATAAATAGGATCCTCTGACTAAAGCATTTCTCTCACATATGTTCAAATTTTTGTTCAGAGATCAATTAGACATCGGCATGAAAGCATCCCAACCATAAAGATTATTTACATTTTTAGTTATTTCCACATTTCAGTCATGTTGGGATTTCACTAGCATTTAACATATTTACGCATCGTAGGGCACAAGAATAAGCTGGGGTTACACTGGGGTTGACTTTTACCCCTATCTTTGCCCTGATTCTCAATCTGGCCCAGTCTGAGCTGGTCGGCTCCAGTCTGCAGATTTTTGGGTAAGTCGGAGTCGACAGTTGGAGAGAGAATCGAGTCGTGTGTGAGGGGTGTAGACTCCCGATCGTGTTTCAGGCCAGTCTGAGTTTATCAAACATGTTTGATTATTTTGGGCCGACTCTGAGCGCCATCTAGTGTAAACCGATCAACAGCTCAATATGAACTGATTCCTGCAACAGCCAATGAAAACAGAGCACAGAAGAAGAAAATACAGCAAGTAAACAAAGAAAAATGGTGAAAAGTCTCTCACGTGTGGAGCGAAGCTTTTTATTTAAGTTGAGTTTAAGGCCCAATTGAGTTTATGTACGTTTAAAACTCTAAAAATACCAACTGATCACATTTTTAAATCAGTGAGCCTCTTAAACATGTTTACCTGCTGCTTCTTTACTGCGTCAGCACAAACGGCAGAGAAAACAGCAGCAGCTCCATGTTTGTTTATTTGGATCTCCTAGTAAAGGGAGAACGCGAGAGTTTGCGTGAGTTCAGTGAGTTCCGTTCAGTTCTGCAGCAGCTGAAAAGTTGAGGGTGTGTGATCCCAAATCGTTTAATGTGTGTGATCCCAAATGTTTCATTTGCCCAAAAAAAATTTGAAGGTTGAAGGCTAGGAGATGCTTCCTCCGAGAAACCTCAGGCTCCACTACATCTTTTCAAATGGAGCTCAACACGCTTGGAGGAGAATGCTAACTGCTATCTCTGTTACATCAGCTAACAGATGCTCATGTTGGCTAGTGTCGTACTTAGTGACGGGGGGGAGAGGAAGGGTCATTTCGTCACTTGAGAGCCCCACAAAAGCTTCTTTGAGTGATGCTATAGAAAAAAAAACACTTTTGAAAACACAGTTTGAAAATGAGATTTGTGAGTGTAAAGAACCTTCTTTACTGAATGCAAAGGTTCTTTACCAGTTTAGGGAATCTTTCTGGAACTTTTTCATGATGTGGAGGTTCGAAATTTTACACAAACATCTCATTTACAAAAATGGTTCTCTAAAGCAGTGGTTCCTGAGGACTGGTTTGAGAACCAGGTATGGTCCACAGTTTGCTCTCTTGTGATTTGTTGCAAGTTAGGTTGGAACAAAAGTCTGGGAGTTTGAGAGCTCTACTCTGAGGAGCCGAAAGTAGTACTTCTGTGGCTTTGTGCAAAAAAAACCTTTTTGGCACCTTTATGTCTGAGTGTACTAAAGAAAAGCAAACAAGATTTTAAGTTTTTTCTTTTCCTGTAAAGTTACAAGGTTTTCTCAGACTTACTGTCCCCTAAATCACAGCTCTTCACCATGTTGCCACTGAGACAGTTTAATGTGCAAAAGGTTAAAACCTCTTGAATCCATTATGTTTGATTGAATCACCTCCTGAGTGTCTGAAATCATACATGACTTTCTGTTTGTTTGTTTTGTGTGTGTGTGTGTTTTAGACTCCAGTCTCAGTGGAGAAGGAAACGGCGCGGATCCCAGCTCCTACAATATCATTAAAACTCCACACCCCCGCAATACAGAAATCTTTCACCATACAGGTATATACATACACACAGCACATGCTGCTGTACTGACCTCTGTCACCATACAGGTGCCAACAGGTTTTGTGTACTTGTACTGATTAGCGTCACATGGTTTATTACATATGACGTGATGTTTTCTGTGACTTGTGGGTGTTTACTTTGGTGCTTTGGATCTTGATTCAAAACTTGAACTTGCTTGTTTTGATCTAGAACTGACATGATCTTGAATCTGTGTCCGTCTCCCTTGACTTGGGACATGCCTGATTTTAATTTGCGACTTGCCTGATTTGGGACTTGCTTGATTTGGTACTTGCCGGGTTAGTGACCTGCCTGATCTTGATTTGCAACTTGCCTGATCTTGATTTGTGACTTGCCTGATTTGGGACTTGCCGGATCTGGATTTGATCTTGATTTGGAACTTGCTTTATTTGGGACTTGCCTGGCTAGTGACTGGCCTGATCTTGATTTGGGACCTGCCTGGCTAGTGACTGGCCTGATCTTGATTTGGGACTTGCCTGCGGAGTGACTGGCCTGATCTTGATTTGGGACCTGCCTGGCGAGTGACTGGCCTGATCTTGATTTGGGACTTGCCTGCGGAGTGACTGGCCTGATCTTGATTTGGGACCTGCCTGGCGAGTGACTGGCCTGATCTTGATTTGGGACCTGCCTGGCTAGTGACTGGCCTGATCTTGATTTGGGACCTGCCTGGCTAGTGACTGGCCTGATCTTGATTTGGGACCTGCTGGCTAGTGACTGGCCTGATCTTGATTTGGGACCTGCCTGGCTAGTGACTGGCCTGATCTTGATTTGGGACCTGACTGGCTAGTGACTGGCCTGATCTTGATTTGGGACCTGCCTGGCTAGTGACTGGCCTGATCTTGATTTGGGACCTGCCTGGCTAGTGACTGGCCTGATCTTGGTTTGGGACCTGCCTGGCTAGTGACTGGCCTGGTCTTGATTTGGGACCTGCCTGGCTAGTGACTGGCCTGATCTTGATTTGGGACTTGCCTGTGGAGTGACTGGCCTGATCTTGGTTTGGGACCTGCCTGGCTAGTGACTGGCCTGATTTTGATTTGGGTCTTGCCTGGCTAGTGACTGGCCTGATCTTGATTGAGACTTGCCTGTTTTTTCTGGACTGACCTGGCCTTAATATGGAGCTTGCCTGGTTTTCATTTGAGACTCGCCTTGATTCGGGTGTTACCTGACCTCAATTTGGAAATCACCTGGTCTTGATTCAGGACTCTCTTGGTCTTGATTCAGGACTCTCTTAGTCTTGATTCTGACCTGGTGTTGATTCAGGACTGGCCTAGTCTGAATTTGGTACTGATGAAGTCGTTATTTGGGACTTGCCTGTCTTGATTTGTTAGTTTTAATCCAGACGTGTTCTGATCTTGAGTCAAGTCTTGCCTGATCTTAATGTGGAATTTGCCCATTTTAATTTGGGACTGACCTGATCTTAATTCTAGACTTGTCTGTCTTGACTCCGAACCTGCCAGCCATAACTGAGAACTCACCCGTTCAATTGGGATTTGACTTGAGACTAGTCTCCCTTGACCTGGCACTTGGCTTGAAGCTTGACGGTCTAAACTTGAGCCTTAGTTGTTACTTGCAACTTACATGCCTTGAGGAGGAAAAAAGGTTCTGTTTTACTGCTCGTTGTGTGTGCATGTATTTGTGTTTGTGCACATGTGGATGTGAGACCCCCATTACGTGACTGGAGACTGAATGAGTTATCTGTATGTATGTGTAGGTAGGTACGGACCCTGTCTTGTACCTGGAGGTGGAGAATGAGGCTTCTGTTGTTGCTGGGGCTCGTATTAGCCAACTCAGGTGCAGCAGAGAAGGAAGAGAGTGGGACACCTTTCTCCCCAGCCGCATCGCAACGGCAACAGGGAGCAGGTAAACACAAACATTTGATTGTTTTGAAGAAAAAGTAATACTTAAAGACCTCTTAACAGTACTGGGGTGGGAACTGCTGCAGACTCCACGGTAGTTGAGCCACAGTGCAATTCTATTGCGAAATTTTTGAAGATTTTGCTAAGTATTGCGATTTGGCATTTTACCAAATGTTGCGATTCATTACTTTTAACTACGGTTTATTCAGTGTTTGTACTGAAGCAAAACAGAACTGTAAAAAAGACAAATCAACTTTTAACGAAATTGGCCTTACAATTGTACATTTAGTCAGTGCCGTTATTTGTAAAGTAGAAAAACGACACTTAAAACAGACTTTATATATTTAGAAAATGCTTTTATTCAGAGCACTTTGCAGTGGCAGGTGAATGTAATGTTAAAAGTCTTGCCCAATGACTCTTATCGGTTTATTATAGTGATGTTTTTGATCCCTGACTCATCTGAACACTGTCCTCCCAGTTCATTATAACTCCACTGACAAAAGCATCGCCATCTAGTCATTTAAGACAGAAGTGCATTGTGGTAATCTGTTAGTCTGACAATGGGCTTAATACATATTAAAATATCAAATGTCCATAATTAAATAAAAGGCAATCAATATACAGGCCTCATTGTATCAATACTATATTTAAAACCCTAGCAATATTATGCAGCATGAACGCTCAAAGAATCCTTGGCGTGATTAAAGGATAAAGTTAAAGGGCTCTTCAGGTTGATAGAGAATATGCTCTACACTGTTAGAAATAAAGGTTCTGTTCAGGTACATTTTTTTTGTTCTTTCAAGGTAAAAACAATGTAAATATTCCCTCAAAGGTATAACAGTGGTTCTAAGGTCTGATTGTGAACCTTAAATAAGTGTTTCCAGGTGAAAAGTTTGTATTTGTGCCTTTTCATAACCGAATGTTTTAAAACAGAACAGTAAAATAAAAGCCTGGAGACGAGACGGGGTGTGTGGAGTCAGTACAGCTTAGAACATATCATTTCAGTGGATTATGGTTCAGTTATGTTCCCTGACTAAAGGTACTGAGATGGACCCTTGAGGGTTCCACCCCAGTGACAAGAGGGGAACTGCCCCAGTGACAGTTTACTACCTGTTGTGTAAATGGTTTCATATAGAACCTTTTTGTTACACTATCAAGCCCGTAACAATAAAAGATGCCCTTTTTGGTGCTATTTAGAACTCTTTTCGCTAAGGTTCTGTATAGAACCATATAAAACAGTCTCCATCAATCTGAGGAATCGTTTCACCAAGCAAACAGTCCTTTAATCATGCAAAAGATTCTTTGAGTGTTTACAATTCGATATAGAACCATTTTCTTTACTAAAGAACCCCTGGAGAACCTTCTTTTTTTAAGTGTTTATTAGCTTCCTCTCTCAAACCTTATACAATAGGAGGCAAAATTGTTTTGATACCTCATAGGTTTGATCCTTTCACCAAAAAAAGGGCAGCGTTAGTTATCAAGGCATTACTTTGATTCTTAAAAAATGCTGTATTGCATCTGTCCGAAGCAGCTTTCTGTTATGGTAACAGAAGCACACTCCCTGAACTGTCGAGTGTTTAGACCAGTGGTGGGCAATATGACGATATTTTATCGTTATCGTGATCAATTATGGCACAGTACATCTTATCTGAGCGTATTGTGTATATCGTCAGTTTTAAAGAAGACTGACTACATATTTCATTAGAAAGTGAGCATAATTAGGCATGTTTAACTGGATTTAGTGCACAAAAATATTGAAATAAATTAATTTTAGTTGTAGACATTATTATTATTATTATTATTATTATTATTATTATTATTGTATTTTTATATGAGACACTACAGGTTTTGTTTTATCTGCTTCAGCTTATTAAATCTCAGAAAAACTTTGTGATGCATTTTGTATTTGATGAAAATATGGAAATATTGTGATATTTTTGCCACATTGCCCATCCCTTTGTCTTGAAGATACGAACTCTCTCTCTCTCTCTCTCTCTCTCTCTCTTCTCTCTCTCTCTCTCTCCGTAGCGATGTGGTTGCCGTGGCGTGTGAGGACCGAACGCTGTCTGTCTTCTCAGCGTGTGGGCGGAGACTTCTTCCATCAATCATGCTGCCAGCCCCCATATCATCACTGCATTGCTCAGCCTTTTTCGTCATGGCCCTGACCGCATCGGCCACCCTGTCCGTCTGGTAGTGACCGCCTTTCTGTCATTATGGTTCAACAACTGTTTTTAGTTTGAAGGGAAAACAAAGACCACCCTTATTCATTTGTTAGGGGGTTTAACGGTTGTGTGAGGAAGCCTGTCTGGCCTTTCTTTTATTTTTGACCAGAAAAAGGATGTGGAGGATTGTGCTGTAAATTTGTTGTGTGCCTTTTTTGTCATTTGTATTATCATTCCTATGCTTCTATGATTGTTAATTATAGTTAATGTTGTGTGTGTGTGTTTATGTGTGTGTGTGTGTGTGTGTGTGTGTGTGTATACTAAAGAAATGTTATTGTTTGTTCTCGTAGGGACGTTCAGAAACAGGTGGCTCTGGTCAAAAATGAATCTCTGAACTCCATCTTATTAGGTGAGCTGTTTCCAAACACCGAGTCAGCGGGCGTCTGTTCACTGTCCCCGTCCAAAAATAATAAATTCTGCTCTCAGCGATATTAAGACTTCTTCCTCTCTCTTTTTTCTCTTCTCTGTCTTTTTCTGTCTCGCTGTCTCTCTGCCTCTCTTTTGCTGTCTATCTGCCTCTTTGTCACCCTCTGTATCTCGCTCTCTCTGCCTCTTTTTTCCTGTCTCTCTTTGCCTCTTTCTCACTCTCTCTGTATCCCTCTCTGTACCTCGCTCTCTCTCTGCCTCTCTTTTGCTGTCTCTCTACCTCTTGCTCTCTGTGCCTCTCTTTCTGTTTCTTTCTGCCTCTTTCACACTCTCTCTCTGTATCTCTCTCTCTCTCTCTGCCTCTCTTTTGCTGTCTCTCTCTGCCTCTCACACTCTCTCTCTGTATCTCTCTCTCTCTCTGCCTCTCTTTTGCTGTCTCTCTCTGCCTCTATCACTCTCTATCTCACTCTGTCTGTGCCTCTCTTTCACTCTTTCTCTCTGCCTCTTTCTCTGTCTTTTTCACTCTTTGCCTCGCTCCTTTTTGCCCTCCGCCTCTCTCTCGCTCTTTCTGCTTCTTTCTCTTACTCTCTCTACCTGTCTCTCTCTCTCTGCCTTTCTCTCCCTCCCTCTCTCTGCCTTTCTCTCGCTCCCGCTCTCGCTCTCTTTCTGTTTCGTTCTCTTCTTTGCTCTCTCTCTGTCCCTCTCTGCCTCTTTTTCACTCTCTTTATCTCACTCTGTCTGTGCCTCTCTTTCACTGTCTCTTTGCCTCACTCCTTTTTGCCCTCCGCCTCTCTCTCGCTCTTTCTCTGCCGCTCTTTCTGCTTCTTTCTCTTCCTCTCTCTACCTGTCTCTCGCCCTTTTCCTGTCTCTCTGCGTCTATTGCTTTCTCTGCCACTTTTGCTCTCTCTGCCTCTGTCTCTCTATCTCTCTCTGCCTTTCTCTCCCTCCCTGTCTCTGCCTTTCTCTTGCTCCCGCTCTCGCTCTCTTTCTCTCTCTTTCGTTCTCTTCTTTGCTCTCTCTCTCTCATTCTGTCTCTCTCGCCTCTCTCTCACTCTTTCTCTGCTGCTCTCTCACCCTGCCTTCTTTCTCTTACTCTCTCTACCTGTCTCTCGCTCTCTCTGCCTCTCTCTCTCCCCCTGTTTCTCTCTTTCTCTCTATGCCTCCCTCTCACTCATGCTCGCTCTCTCTCTCCCTCTCTCTCTCTTGCTCTCTCTCTCTCTGTAGGTTCTGATGCTACAGTAAGTCACTCTATGTTGACTGATCAGGGTGTTCCTGTGGTTGGACTGTCCAATGGGAAATCCTTCTGTTTCAGCTCTGCTATGGAGACGTGGTGAGAGATGCACACGTTTAATTCACACTTTTATAAACCGCTGATGCTGTACGTTTATATTTATGTACACTCAGTACTGCTTTATTAGGTTTACTTACTCTGTGTGGACGGCTGTACCTTTTACAGCCTGTTATAAAGTGTAATGCACATTTTTTTGCAGCACTTATGGTCAGTAGTTTGCTGGCTGATGGTAACTGGGCTTATTTGGTGCACCACTGTTTTACGCTATGTTCACATTACAAGCCTCGTTGCTCAAATCCGATTTTTTGCTCAAATCCGATCTCTCTGACAGGATGGTTCACACTCGTTTAGGTCAGTGATTCAAATCTGTCATTAATGTGACAAACCGGCATCCTGAAATGACCCTCATGAGCTCATCCTACTCAGTAACGTCACGTGAATGAATCACGTTCATCATCAGCACAAACTAACGAGCAGAACGAGCTTCGCTGAGAAGATCATTAACTCTGATCAGCTCTCAGCTTCATTATTAGAGCGAGACGAAGGAGAAAAAAGGTGAGATGAGCTGCTTTTCCACCGTTTACAGGCTTTAACGTCTGTTCGGCGCTGCTGCCATGGTAACGCTGAATGATGGCACACGCATAGAGGAATTAAAGCACATGAATTCCGATCTGAACGTCACATTAAAGTCGCATGGCCACGAATTAGATACGTATCCGATCTAAGACCACATATGAAAGTGGCTCAGGTCGGATTTAAAAAGATCAGATTTGTGTGTCCACACAGCTCTGAAAGCATCAGATCTGAGTCACATTAGGACATAAAATCTGATTTGTGCCACTTCAGCCTGGTAATGTGAACGCAGCCTTAGTGGCCTCTCTTTAGTGATGAATTGCATGCTGGTTTTAAAGTGAATTCTGGTGCGATGTCCGGTTGTATTGTATTGTAAATTTTATTGCAACCTAACATGATAAACCCAGTAAAACTGGACTACAAAACACCCCACCACCAAAGTAAAACTAACAAGCTTAAATCATTCTTGTAAACTTAAAGCTGCACTATGTTAGATTTATTTAAGATTTTTAAAACTGAAAAATAAACTATGGTGAGCGTGTACTGCTGTCGGTTGTCCCTGTAAAGCCTGAAATAATCATTTAAAAGTCAGAGGCGTCAGGTTGGGAGTTTTTCACACCACGTTGTACGTCTTTACGTATTAACGTCACACGCACAGACTCAAAAGAAGGTCCGGCTGGATGTTTAGGTCTCAAATGATCTCAAAATCAACATTATACCGATGAAGATATGGTGACTATAGTAGATAATTCACTCACATCCTCAAAAGTCGTGTCCTTCACCAAGTTTAGACTGAGTTATCTTTGAATTCTCTTTCAAGGGGTCCAAAGCACAATTGCATGTTGCATGCAATTACACATTTCCACCAGAGAGGTCTCCAAATCTCCCAAAACGTAGTTTTGTAGCTTTAACAAAACCACATTTTAGGCCGTGAAAATATACCTGTGCTACATTTTGATTCAAGACTGATATAAAAGAAGAAGCTTCACAGAAACAGTATGTTTATTATTGGCCACTCTGCCTTTTGTGGCCTTAATATATGTGATTTTACTAGGGTTGAAACTAACGATGACTTCTTTAATAAATTAAAGAATCAGCTGTTTAATCAACTGTTCTGCCTTTGGTTCCTCTCCTTTTGCCGCCACCATCAAAATTATCGCCCCCTACGCTTACTGTAGTGTACTACAGTCTGTCAAAGTGACTGTGTGGATCATATGAACATTATAGAGCTTTTTAAATGAAACAGTAGAAGCCATATCGCCCCCTACACTTCCTGTAGTGTATTACAGTCTGTCAGAGTGACTGTGTGGATCATATGAACATTATAGAGGCTTTTTAAACGAAACAGTAGAAGCCATATCGCCCCCTACACTTCCTGTAGTGTATTACAGTCTGTCAGAATGACTGCGTGGATCACACACAGATAATATTTGCAGGTTTTTTCCATTATAATGCTGTATGTTCACACTCTCTCTCTCTCTCTCTCTCTCTCTCTCTCTCTCTCTCTCTCTCTCAGGAATCTGATAGTAGATAAGCAGGATGCTCTAGTGCAGTGTGCGGACTTCAGGAACTGCGTCTCTTCCCAGGAGGCACTGGGCTCCACAGGGCCACTGGCTGCTACGCAGGGGCGGAGTCTGAGGTAGGATTTTTGTGATTGGCTAACAGCCTGCCAAGGACTTTACAAATAGTAGATTCTATACTAATTGTAAGAACTGAAGGCTGATTTATATTTCTGCATACATATTTGTGTAAAGACACAGTTTTTGTGGGGGTTTTGTGGCTAATTATAAATTGTAATTATACACTCTACTCCAAAATCTGCCTTGCATGAATCTATGGTGCTGTGCTCTGATTGGTTGAGCAGATCCAGTAGCTCTGGCCTGGGACAGGACCCAGAACAGAGCTAAAAAAAAAAAAAATACAGCATGGGAAAAACATTCTTATCCAAATATTTTTTGCTGCTTTTATCACTTCTTGCTCTTCCATCTTCAGTGGGAGTTAGACAGGCATTTCTAGCATTCTCAAATCATCATCTTTGCATTCTGGTTCACTGAATGCGGCACTGCCCTCTAGTGCACACTAATGTTGCGTGCACTTGTGTTAGTGTGCGTGTAGGCTGAACATCTGGATAGATTTGCAGGAGCAGAAGTATAATTGGGTTTGGATTTACCTGCATTCACTCCAGTCGGAAAGCTCTAAGCTGTTCATTGAAGCAGCTGAGGGCCAGGTGCACACTGGCAGCCTCTGAAAAATCTCAAACTGCATCTCTACTTAGTAAGTTTTCATTTTGTACATTTTTTTTTTAATCTGCAGTTGCCCTTGCTGTCAAAGGGGACCTCTGGGAAATCTAAATAGCCTTTTTTGCCTTATTAGTTCATATTCATAATCATATTAAAGGGGAATTCCACTGTATTCCACTGTGTTATGTAGTATTTCAAAATTCCCACATAATTCAGTGGTTCAGATGTAAACGGAGTGATTCACAGTGGTTTGGCATGAAGTGTTTGTTTGTAGAGATGTCTTTACAGTGGTGATGATGGGAACCAGGGGCCGCCATGACTACGACTCAAATACAACCACTTTTATTTACTACTGTTTTAATTAATTTGCCATTTTATTTACTACTATTTTAATTAATTTTATTAAGTCATCTCACTATATTGGCACTATATTGAGATAAATGTACTTAATAAAATGACCTAAAATAAGTAAATATAGAAATAAGATAAATAGTCTTATAATAAGTGCCATCGCAAAATGGGAAATATTAGATATATCAGCTAGATTTAAGATCATTTTACTTGACAAGAACTAAGTAAATTATATTTATATAGCACTTTTAAAACCAAAGTGGTTTACAGTAAAACAGGTTATATGTTAATGTCTGTTAAGTTTCAAATAAAACGTAGATAAATAAAAAAATGAATCTTTTTGAAGCTTCGTATAGGCAGTGCTGTTTGCTTTGTGCTAAAATACTACTGGAATATTTTATCCCATTTTTAATTTTTAATTTGATTTAATTGAGTGATTTTTCTCTTTTAAATATTGTTTTAATGATGTTTTTAATTTCTGTTCGCCTTTACTTTTTAAAATCACTCTGTATTTTCTCATTTGTAAAGCACTTTGAATGACAGCAGTCTATGAAAGGTGATACATAAATAAACTTGCCTTTCCTGGAATCCCATGGGGCACTGTCAGGAATGAGCATTGTCATAGAAGTGGATTTTTCCCACTCTTTGTTTGTGTGATCTTTGATATTTATGGTCTGATTGAAGGTCTTGCACTAACCGTCACGATTCACCACTGTTTTTATTGTATGTTTCGTGGCTGCTTTAATAAATATTCCCCCTCCCTCCCTCTCTACCTCCCCCAGTGCGAGCCGGCTGGCGTCCCGTCTGTCCTCCGCCCCCCACCACCTGCAGCAGGGGATGACCCTGGCCTTCCTGGAGCAGCAGCTCTCCTCCGCACTCATCCTGCGCTCCACCGCTGAGTATCGCCACTGGCTGCTCATCTACACTCGCTTCATCGTCAACGAGGGTGAGAGACACTAGTTTGCTTTAACTAAAGACACAAATCCACTGTGTGAGTTTGGACCTGCTTTACACAACGCTGATAAATATCACACCAAAGCTGGATTATTGTGGAGAAAATTAATTCTGTGTATTTTATAAAAAAAAAAACATTAAAATTCAAACATTTTACGTGCTGCTTCTGTTTTTACACAGTTCCACTTATGAGGATTAATACTTTTTAGCAGTACTGTGATGGATCTTTTTATAGCAGTACTAAAGCTCAGTACTAAGCTTTTTAAAGGGTCCATGTCCAACATTTGTCTTGTGTTTTATTTTTCTCTTTGACATTTATGTAAGGATCAAAACTAGGGCTGGGCGATAAAACAATAACAATAATAATCGCGATATAACTTTACATAAGAAATGTTCGCTAAATGTTCGATATAATAGAGCGTTCTCACACTTCCCATTGTAGCGACAGCCCTGGTGGCGTTTCTACTGCAAGAAAAGTGACACTACTCTGCTGTCGCCACAAGAGGGCGCACTTCTGTGTTTTTCAATATAATTGGAGAGGGAGGGGGGGCGACGGGTAAAAATAGTCACCAAATATACTTCAGCAACGTCTGAAACATGGAGTTATACATTCCCTGTTTGAGTGGAGCGACCGGCGATCTGTTCTCCTGTGACCGAGTGTGAGTGACGAGGTCAGTGGTGTAACTATACTGTCCTACAGTGAACTCACCTTTCCTTACATCCTAACCAGCTTTAGCAGCGTTAAATCACGTCTGCTCCGCACAACTACAGCGTGTTCATATTTTAGTGTTAGTGCATTCCCAAGCAACGAAAGTGAAAGAAAGAAGTGGGTTGATGTAAATTACAGCCCTGATTTAAGTGAAAGTAAACTGAGGATGCTGTATGTGTGACGTTGGAGAGCGGGAGAACACTAGCTTCCCACACTAGCTGCTTTTAGCAGCTCACTAATTCACACAGCATGACGAATAGATGTTACTGTAGATCAAACAAGACAAAAAAGTACTGATTTCAGTTTAGACGTACCTTAAAGGAGGGTTCTGTTTGTCTGGTGCGGTTCTTCCATCCCTCAAACTACTATGATAGAATAGAGAAACCCAGTCGTCTGCTAGCTGGTGTCTGAATACTGTGATATGCTCTGACATGGATGTGGTAGGAGTGATGGCAGTGAGGCGGTGTGATCCATCACTGACGTACCGAGCCAGATAACGTTTGCTGTTTCGTATTAAGCTGACGACGCTGAGAAACTAAACAGTTTAGCACTGTTGTTGGCCACTTGTTTAGCATTTGTAACAGGACAGCCGAGTGCACGTCACCAGACAGCTAAAACAATCTGTTTTCTTTCTTAACTTATGAACATTACAAAAATTTCCGCTGTGCTTTTCCAGCTGGTAAAAACAGCCAATCAGGAACTTTCTCCCACTCTCCCATAACAGATCTGTGAATTGTTCCACTGTTTGGGGAGTGTTTATCATGTTCTGAGCATAAAGGATCATTTAAAACAGCAATTAACCACCCAGGAGAAAAAAATCAGCCTTCAAACTTGAAAGAAATAATGATTTGACCTTTATGACAATAAGTATCGATATCGACTGACATTTTTTATCGTGATAACATTTTTGGCAATATCGCCCAGCTCTAATCAAAACTAGTCATGACCCATTTTCTCTTTATCCCTGACAATTAAACAGGCTGTTTTCGTTACTGCACCTTGAAGGCTGATGTATGTAAATGAGCTCTGTTCTGATTGGCTGCTCTGTACTGTGCCTTATTCACAAAGCAGTCCAGGCTGAAACACTCCTTATAACTTCGGTGTGAATGGGTGGGGCTAAAACGCTGTAGGCTGAATAAGCAGATATATATAAATTGTCGATGTCCCCAAAAAAAGTATCTCAATTTTTCTTTTGCAGTCTTTAGTTTTCTGCATAATTTGCTCAGCAGCTCTCCTTTACATTGTGTTAAATTTCATGATGATCAGACCAATAGAAATGCTCCAAAATTGCTTGAGTAAAAGTATCTTAACTTTAACTTACATTGAAAGTAAAGAAAGTTTTTGCCTTCTCCTGTAAAGTTATCATTTTGGAGACACTTGTTTTTCTTTGGACAGGGGCGAAATGCATTGGTTTTCATGACATCATGAATGAGTTTTTATGCAGATTAGTTTCCCTGTAAGGACTGGGGAGCAGACGATGTGTTATGAAACTTTCACTGTGTACATGCAACTCTAAATTAAATTTCAAACTGTTAAATAAAAAAGTAAAGAAAATTCAGTTTTCTGTGATATGGCCCTTTAAGCAGGAAACCCAATGTTATGTAGGGACTCTAAAGATCTGTGAAGCTACGAATGTAACTGTGTAACTCTGAATGAACATGCTTGTTGATTGTATAAACTGTGTTTGCGTGTGTTCACTGGCTGCTCGTGGGGGATAAGGAGGACGATCACTCACTGGGGGGTGTCTGTGTATGTTTGTAGGATATGAACAGCGTTTACGGGAGTTGTGTAAGGATTTGCTGGGACCAGTACACAAATCCAGCAGCAGCTCCTGGGAGCCCACAGTGCTGGTGAGTCTGACACTTTCTGTTAATGTCAGTTAAAGCGAAAGTTTAGTGAGAAATCAAATTTACAGTTTTCCACACGCTTAAACCATAAAACCATGAACGCTCAGAGAACCCTTTGCCTGATTAAAGGGTCCTTTGCATCATCAAAGCGTTCTTTAGGTTGATGGAGAACGTGTTGTATACGGTTCTATTCAGAACTTTTTTGGAAAGGGTTCTATATAGCACCAAAAAGGATTCTTTTATCATTACAAGCTTGACATCATAACTATAAAAGAACCCATTTTGGTGCTATATAGAGGCATTTTTCCAAAGGTTCAGTATAGAACCATCTACAGCACATTCTCCATCAATCTGAAGAATGATTTAATCATGCAGAGAGTTCTTTGTGTGTTCATGGTTCTATATGGAGCCATTTCCTTTACTAAAGAACCCTTAAAGAACCATCATTTTTAAGCGTGCACTTACCCTGAGTGTAGTCGATAAGCCGGGACATGCTTGGCGTCTCCATGCTCATTGGTGGGGTGTTAGCTTACATTACATGTTAACTACATTAGACTCATTGATTCCGTGCACAGAAGGTTGCATAGAAATTATTGTGCATGCAACTCAACATGCAACTAGTTTCGATGTGTAAAGCCAGCTTTATTGAAAAGAATTTTAATGTTAAAAATTACATGAATTTTTTACGTTTTAATGCCTCAGTTTTTTTTTTTTTTAATGTAGGCTATGGAAACAGAAATTGGTAATATTTTATGAATTTCAACAAAAAATGCTTTCTTTAGTACCTGAAACGTTGCAAAAACCTACACTGGCAGTAGCAGAAACCACATGTCCACAAGCCTAAGGGGACTTAATAACTCCTTCATTTCAATGTAAACAAAGTCATTCAGAGTGGTTTTTTGCAAAACTGTGTTTGGTGTGAAACGCTCTGTTCTAGAGAAACTTACTGAGTCAGAATTGTTCACACTGGTGGTGATAGGAACCAGACGTCTGAAAAGTTTAATGCCCCTAAAAGCTCCCTAACAGAAAGCTGTTACACAAAATGGTTATGAATACACCAGCTGATGCCCAAGACATTGTTTACAGTAGTTTTGGCCTAAAATGTCTTATTAATCTGTTTATTTTAATCCATTCATGGCGAAGGGGAACATGCAGGACAAAATAGTCCCCCAAAAACGTATTCCTTTCAGATTTTCCACTATTTTACCATCACAAACATTACATATAAAAGCTCAGAAGACCTGTGTAGGTTCACTGGTGGTTTTGTATAGTAAATAAAATGTCTATATTAATGTTGTAGTCATGGCGACCCCTGGTTCCTATCACCACCACTGTAAAGACATCTGAGTCTGTATGTCTCTCTACAACAGAGCATTTCACATCAAACTACTCTGAATGGCTTTGTTTACATTTTAACCATTTAATTATGTAGACATTTTGAAAAATTGGTGGAGTTCCCCTTTCTTATTGTTTACGACAGTTTTAGTCTCTAGTAAAGATGCCACAAGCACTAATATTTTGTGCCTCATTTCTCTTTTCTCTCTGTCCTGTAGGGTCTGAGGAAGAGAGATGTCTTAGCGGAGGTTTTGCCTGTGATTGGTCAGAATCTGCGCTTTCAGAGGCTCTTCACCGAGTACCAGGACCAGCTGGAGATAGTCCGCCTCAAATAGCACTTTTGACCCCATCGTGCCCTTTTGACCCCCCTGTCCCGGTCATCATTAACAGTCTGCCTTAGGCCTCAATATGCAGAGACAGTAAACTTCCATGATCCTCACTGAGGACCCTGACTCTGTCTGTGTAACAGACGAAAGAACTCTAACGAGAACAGACACTAGTGCTGATATTTTTAAATAATGAATTTGGTAAATAACAATAATGAGATAAGCGTGTAAATGTGGCGCCGGTGGAAAACGCTGGAGTCTCCTGCTGACGAAGAGAGGATTCAGTGTTCGTTTGAGTGGTGCTTCTTTTTCATCCCTCCATCCATTTCTCTCTTCGTTTTGCTTTCATTTCCGCGTGGCCAAGACTCATCTCCAGAAACCAATACTGAATCGTTGGAGCCGATGTTCGCATCTGTGGAACCGATAATGAATCAGAGGAGCTGACACTGAATCATACTGAATCTGGCTCAGTGCTACTGAATCAGTGGAGCAGATTCTGAAACATTTTGAATCATACCGAGTTGGTATTAATCATACTCAATCAGTGGAGCCAGTACTGAATCAGTGGAGGCGAAACAGAATCATACTGAATCAGTATGAATCACATTCATATGCTGAATTCTACTGAATCAGTCACACTAATGGTAATCATGCTGAATCAATGGAGAATACACTGAATGAGTATGATTAAGTGGAACCCCTACTGATTCGATAGGATTCAGTGGAATATGGAATCAGTGGAGATGATACTGAATCAGTATGTATTATACTCAATGTTGAATCGTACTGAATCAGCCGTATACTGAGCCAACAGAATCTGTATGATTCGGTGGAGCTGATACTGATTCTGTGCTGAATCACTGAAGCCAACACTGAATCATACTGAATCTGTATGAATCACACTCGCTCAGTTGAACACATACTGAATCCTCCTGAAACAATGGAAGGAATACTGAATATCAGTATGATTTGGTGGAGTCAATATAACTGTAGAGCGGATGTCGATTCAGGAGGATTCAGTAAGGCCGATGTTAGATCACCGTAGCCGTAACTGAAATAATGGAGTCATTACTGAATCATACTGAGTCAGTATGAATCAAACTCACTCAGTGGAGCTGACACTGGATCCATGGAGCTGACGCCGAATCTTGTTGAATCAGCAGTGGAAGCAAAACTGAATCCTGCTGAATCAGTGGAGGGAATACTGAATATTGGTATGATTCGGTAGAGACGATACTGACTCAGCAGGATTCTGTGGAGTTGATACATTTGTGGGGCTGATACTGATTCAGTGTAGTTGATGCTAAATCAGTGTTGCTGGTACTGATGCAGTGGAACTGAGTAGAAGCTACACTGAATCAGTGGACTAAACACTGAATCTGTATGATTCAGAGGAGTTGATACTGATTCAGTAAGATTCAGTGGAGCTGATGCCAAATCGCTGTAGCTGGTATTGAATCAAGTGGAGGCGACACTGAATCGTAACTGAATCATGCTTAGTCTGTGGAGCTGAATTTGAATCAGTAGACCATGATACTGATTCAGTATGATCAAATGCCTGGTTCTGCGAGGGTCTCTCTCTCCCTCTCTCTCTCTCTCTCTCCCTCTCTCTCTCCCTCTCTCGGATCTATGAAGCCATCATTTTTGGATCAGGCCCAAGCCTGGCACAGCGGCCATTTTACAGCTGGGAACGGACATTTTGTATCTGTAACGGTGTCCCTGTGAAGCGAAGGATGAGCTGAGTAGTGAGAGGAGGAGAGGAGCGGGGGGGCTGGAGTCATGGTGTGGTGTGTGAATATTCACCCCCTCTCCTCCCTGCTGTCCGGACAGACACCTGTGAGTTACCTGTATTTGTAAATGTTTGTAAACACTTTTTTCTTTGTGTTTTTTTTCTATAAAATGAAGCAGCGAAGGGTGAAATATTAACTTAGAGAAAAAAAAATAAAGAACTGACCAACTCTAAAGGCTCTCTCGCTCTGTAGTACGTAAATATATTTTTACTATTCTTATTATAAATCTTATTTTTAGTATTAACCCCCCCCAATCTTAGTTAGGGCCAGTTCTATTGAGTGGTAGAGATGAGCTGCATTTTGAAAATTTTAAAACAAAGAAAAATTATGACAAGTAAAAAGGAGAGATATTCACAATTCTGCACCGTTTCTAGGTCACTACTCAAACTGAAGCAGATTTGTGACACTGTGACCATGTTAAAGGGGAATTCCACCAATTTTTTTTTTAATTTCTGAACAATTCAGTCCTTGAGATGTAAGCAGAGTCATTCAGAGTGGTTTGATGTGAAATTGTTCATTGAAGAGAAACTTACAGACCAACATTTCTTTACAGCTGGTGGTGATGGGAACCCAGGGGTCGCCATGACTACAACATAGTAGCCATTGTACCATCCAAAACCACCAGTGAACCTACACGTGTCTTCAGAGTTTATATGGAATGTTGATGATGGTAAAATAGTGGAAAATCTGAAACAGTAAGTTTTCTTTGAGGATTATTTTGCCTCACGGCGCCCTGCATGTATCCCTCCACTATGAACGGTTTAAAATAAATGGATTTAAATACGTTTTAAGCCAAAACTATCACAAAACTATTATAAGGTAACGTGTCAGACATCAGGCAGCATCTGTCTAACCACTTGATGTCATCATTTTCTGTGAGGGAGCTTCTAGAGGCATTAAACACTTCAGACGTCTGGTTCCTATGACCACCACTGTGAACAATTCTGACTCAGTAAGTTTCTCTACAACAGAGCATTTCACATCAGACTACTATGAATGAATGTTTACATCTTAACCTATTAATTATAACCCAATTTCCAAAAAAGTTGGGACGCTGTGCAGAATGTAAATAAAAATAGGATGCATGATGTGCAAATCATGTAAACCATATTTTTAAAGGAAAATACTACAAAGACAACATATCAAATGTTGAAACTGAGACATTTTATTGTTTTTTGATAAATATTTGCCAATTTTGACTTTGATGCCAACAACACATTCCAAAAAAGTTGGGACGGGAGCCTGTTTACCACTGTGGTTCATCACCTTTTAACAACACTCTGTAAGCGTTTGGGAACTGAGGAGACACTGCTGTAGTTTAGAAAGTGAAATATTTTCCACTCTTGTCTGATACAGGATTTCAGCTGCTCATCAGTTCAGGGTCTCCTTTGTCGTATTTTTCATTTCATAACGCGCCAAATGTTTTCAGTGGTGACAGGTCTGGACTGCAGGCAGGTCAGTTTAGCACCTGACTCTTTTAATACGGAGCAATGCTGCTGTAATACATGCAGAAAGTGGTTTTACATCGTCTTGCTGAAATAATCAAGGCCTTCCCTGAAAAAGACGTCGTCTGGATGGCAGCACATGTTGTCAAAACATGTACATATCGTTCAGCATCAATGGTGCCTGCACAGATGCACAGGTCACCCATGCGCCCCTTATACCATCATGTATACTGGCTTTTGAACTGTGCACTGATAACAAGCTGAGTGGTCTTTACCCCGGAGGACACAGTGTCCATGATTTCCAAAAAGAATTTCAAATGTTGATTCGCTGGACCACAGGACACTTTTCCACTTCGGCTCAGTCCATTTTAAATGAGCTCGGGCCCAGAGAAGGCGGCAGCGTTTCTGGATCCTGTTTATATTTGGTTTCTTCTTTGCGTTTTAGAGTTTTAACTTGCATTTGTGGTTGCAGACAAACTGTGTTCACAAATGAAAAGCAAAAGTTCTTTGCTATTTTACGTTGAGAAACATTCTTGGATTGCTGCACTATTTGATGGTGCAGTCTTTCACAGAGTGGTGAACCCTCCTCATCTTTACTTCTGAAAGACTCCGCCTCTCTGAGATGCTCTTTTTGTACTCAATCATGTTAATGACCTGTTACCAATTAACCACCAAGTGTTTCCCTCAGCATTACCCAATTTTACCAGCCTTTTGTTGCGCCCGTCCCAACTTTTTTTGGAACGTGTTGTTCCCCCAATACTAAGACATTCTGAAATTCACATTCAAATTTCAAAGATTCCGCTTTTCACTGACGTTGTTATCCTGATAATAGAATATGTAATTATAAAGTGTTTGTATTAAATTACAGAAGAATGCAAAATAGCATTTTCACAAGTGCTCTCAGACTTTTGGACCCCACTGTATATCTGCCAGTTCAACCTACAGCAGTTTAGCTCCGCCCATTCACACTGAAGCTATAAGGAGTGTTTCAGTCTGGACTGCTTTTGGAATGAGGCACAGTACAGGACAGCCAATCAGGACAGAGCTAGTTAACGTATAAGTCGTAAAGTCACAGAGACAAAAACAGCCGGATTAATTCTGCAGGATAAAGAGAAAATGATTAATTATGACTGAATTAATTTTGACTGTTTTTTGGCACATAAATCTGCAAAACAACAGAAATGTGAACTCTTTAAAAATAAATAAATAAATAAATAAAAGGTTCTTCAAGGGTTCTTTAGTAAACACAATGGTCATGGTTCTATTGTAAACATTCAAAGAACCATTTGTATGCTTAAATAGCTCTGCATGGTGAAATGGTGCTTCAGATTGATGGAGAATGTGTTGTGTATGGTTCTATATAGACCCTTTTTGTAAAGGGTTCTAAACAGCACCAAAAAGCGTTCTACAATAGTTACAATACCAAGCTTGTAATAACAGAAGAACCCCTTTTGGTGCTTTAAAAACATATGCAACACATTTTCCATTAATCTGAAGAACCATTTCATGATGCAAAGAACTCTTTAATTTTGCAAAAGGTTCTTTGAGTGCTCATGGTTCTGTATAGAACCACTGTCTTTACCAAAGAACCCTTGAAGAACCATCTTAAAAGATAAGGCCCTTTTAAACTAGTTTCTTTGTGCTGCCACTAGATGGCAGTGTAGCACTGTTTTTTGTGGTGTATTTTTATTTGTTTTGTTGCTCTTTTCACTGTAAGAGGTGAATCCTTGTTTTTAAGACTGAGTTACTCAGATTTGACTTACTGATATGTCTGTGTTTATGCTGAATGTTGAGTGGCAGGAGTCGAATTAATCATCATTGATAATCGTGCCAGAAACAAATGTGAGATTAGATAAATCCCTGTCTGGTTTAAGATTGTCAATAACATTAAAAACACTGCTTTTTTTCCTTAGACCTCTCTGACAAACCTCACCATCTGCCCAAGAGCATCATTTTTTTTGTTTTTCTTGTTGACTGGCCTATTTTCACCCTCAGAAATCATCGTTACACAAGCCGCATAAATGGCCTGGCTATTTTCCTTTGGCTGCTTTGTTTCACACAGAAAAGCAAAAGGATACAGATTGATGATTAAAGAGCCCATATCGGACATTTTCCTAATATTTTTAGCTCCACTTACATTTTTTGTGTGTTTTACACCAAAGTGAGCCCTAGTCCATGTTTGTGTGACCACTCTTTATCTCGCAGAATTAAACAGACTGTTTTTGTTACTGTGCCTTTAAGATTGATATATGTAAATGACCCCTGTTGTGATTGACTGTTGTGCATCACTCAAAAAGCAAAAGCAGTCCAGGCTGAAACACTCCTTATAACTTCAACTTGGGTGGGCGGGGCCAAACTGCTGAAGGCTATATAGGCTGATGCGTGTCAATGTGTTGGTTTTTGTGACATCACAAATTCAGAAAGGGATGTTTGGCAGGTTATTTATATATATATATATATATATATATATATATATATATATATATATGGTTTACACGCAATGTAAAAAACAGGCATTTTATATAAATTCATATTTTTTTATATATATACACACACACACATATTGGACTAAAGTGATTAAATTCTGTGGATGTACACCTTAGATAAAGTTCTAGCTGTAAACAATTGATTTACCATTGACTTATTATTTACTCCATAATGTTTATACTTTAATTCACAATCAGATTATGATTTTTTGCTGCTTTGTTAAAAATTAGCAGTGCCATGTGGGACCAAATAACTACATGTATTATGATAATACGTTTAAGCCTTATGGTTTGATAAATTATTAGGGTATTTGAATTATAAATAAAGATTCTGATCGGTTCAGTTCATGTGAGGTGGCTGTGTACGGTGAAAAAATGGGGAAACAAATAATTGAACAAATATATAAAGTAGCTCAATATTGGAAGCTTTTCACTCTGATGTGGCGTTCAGTGTGTAAACCTGCAGTCTTTTACAGGAAGAAGAGTCAGTATTGATCCACTCAGCATTGACGGCTTCAAACAGCTCAAAAACACTGCCGAGCTCATTTGTGTTTAATGTGAGACCAAATATTCTCTACAGGGTTTAAATCTGGACTCTGACCAGCCAGAACCATCAGTAAGAACCGTTAGATTTTGGGCTCAGCCCTTTTTGGTCCAGGAGTGAATGTATAAACTGTAAATACTGCATAAATTCTGTCCTGACTGCAGGCTTTTAAACCTGCAGCCTGGAGCTGTGCTCTCTCAGAGCAGAGTGCAGGGTTTAGGGCTCGGTTTGGGACGCGCCCGCAGGCCGACACCTCGGAGCCTCAGCGTCTCCGGCAGGAACAGCTGAGCTTCAGTTAATGAGCTCAATCACCACAGGACCAACTCCTCCCTCGCTCGCTCGCTCGCTCACTCAGTCAGTCACTTCGTGCTATAAAAGACCATCTTTTAAATCCTTTTGTTCTTTTCTAAATGCAGTTTAAATACAGTACTGTTCTTTCTTTTATCTTTTCTTTCTTTTTTCACTTGTTCTATCTCTCTCAGTAATCCTTCTCTCTCTTTTTCATTCTCTCTTTTCTCTACCTCTCACTGTGTTTTCTGTTTTAATATATTCCCCCTTCTCTCTTTTCTCCCTTTTTTCCTTTTTTCCACTTTTTTCTTTACCTCACACTGTCTCTCAGTGATCCTTCTCTCTCTCTCTCTCTCTCTCTCTCTCTTTCTTCATTTTCTCTTTTTCATTCTCTCCACTTTTTCATTCTCTCTCTCCACTTTTTTACTCTCTTTCATTTTTCTGCTGTATTTTTACTTCTTACTGTCTTTTCTGTTTTTTTTCTCTCCCTCTTTTCTTTTTTTTACTTTTACTTTCTCTTGATCTCTCTTTCATTCCATCACTCCCTCCTACTGTCTCTTGTCCACTTTTGTGTCTCTCTTGCTCTTTTTTCATTTTTCCTCTCTCCTGATCTTTTTCTAACTCCTGTCTCTCACTGTCTTGTTTCCTTTCTCC